GAAAGGAATAGAGAGTGCACAAATTGTGTTTGCTATATATACTTACGAGTATATAATATACTACTAGCGGCTCACCCTCGCTTCGCTCGGGTTCGCCTCTAGGAATGCAAAAACAGACTTATCCCACGGAAACCGTACATTTTTGCGGGTTAAAAAGTAGTATTTGTGTTATTATATCTATCTCTGTGCCAAATTTCATCTAGATCCATTCAGCCGTTCTGGCGTGAATGATTAACAAATATCCATACTCACAAACTTTCACATTTATAATATTAATATAGATAGTATACTCTATTGAATTGTTATTCTCAGTAACATTGGTCAAAGTGACCGATATTGGTCAGAACGACATTATATTATGTACAATCAACATAAACAAAAGTCGATGTTTTCGTATAAAATCGCAAAAGGCACAGAGGAAAACAGCAGCGCGAAGTGAAGGTGAGTCGTTAGTAGGATATATCCAGAATAGGTAATATCACGCTGATATTATCTAGCTGTTAGCTAAAGTAATTATATCATCGGTTTACAGTTACCGAGTCTTCTATGGTTTTAATATAAATATAGTTTACTACTACATCCAAACTCACGAACTAAAGCTCTACATTAAATTATTCTTATTTTTTTATCTGTAGATACTCTGTAGTACCTACCTAATGTATTTTAAGTTTGTATTGTTAAGTTTTCTGAAGAAATTAATTCCCATTTCACTAAACCAAAGTTTCTAAAGATAACAGAGAAAATTGACGTATTTTATCTAATACTTATAAGGATAAGATAACATTATCGATGACTTTTATATTTCCTATTAAAATAGATATGTTTTTCTCAAGCACTATCTACAGTGTTGAAGATCGTGGTTTAAAGACCTGTATCGAACAGGTATTTAATGAAAACCTATACCTATTACTTATTTTCATCTATTTTAAAAGCAATACTCAGTTTAGGACATCTGCAATATATTTCATCAACAATGGAGACTTTAGGCACTGTCTAACTTTAGGCACTGGTTAAACGTATTATGCCTTTGTAGAAAGAAAATAAGTTGTCTTTTAATTAAGTCCGATCTACCTTTAATTAAAGAGCCTCCTTTGTAAGAACAATTAATGAAAGGGCTCAGGGTAATATCCACCGTCCAGTACTATAAATTAAATATACGTCTCGCTCTAACACTTTAGATTCAGTATTTGTGATCTCACTCACATTTGAACTCATTGTCTGTAGTAGAAACGGGACAAAACTCAATGATGCAGAAAGTGTACTTTAACTATTTAAATGTATGGTTTTGCCTCCGTATGCGTTAATTGACAATGCTTATCTGTTACAAATCCATTCTAATATTATAAATGTGAAAGTGTGTTTGTTTGTCCTTCCTTTTTTGTGGGGAGAAAGTTGGAGGGCTGGAGAATGACATAGGCTACTTTTTACCGCGGGAGATTATGTAATTCCCATGGAAAAACACGTTATAATACAATCCAAAAAAATATTTATGATCAGAACTACTTGAAACTTGGTATTAATGCTTTTCAAAAAAAAACCTGTTTTAGGATATTTCGAAATTCATCATAAAAGGCGGTAAAATAGGGGATGAAAGTTTGTATGAAACTACCTTTTTAGAGATTTTTTTATAGTTTTAGCTCGAGCGAAACCGCGGGTTCTGATAGTACTTTATAATTTTAAGAAATTATTTTTTCTGTGTGTTATAACTTATGTAGAGCTTATATCGTTATTAATTGCACAACACCAAAGCTTATGTCTAATCTGTATGCGAATACGTATGGAAAGGTGAGGAAATTTTATCCAATGAGATGAGCTATACTAGCACTTTGCCCCAGATGGGGTGGCTCATTAGCGTCCGACAATCCAGCCAGGTGGGCGTGAAGACAAAAGACACACTGACAGGCAGCCCACCTCAGCGGGCAGTATAACATGCGGGTTGCGAATGGTACTTCTTTCAAAGCAGAGTGGGCAGTGGCAGCAACCCTTTGGTTGTTGTGGTCTGCTTAGATCCTGCGACGGCTTAAGACAGGGAAGGTTCTGTTAGGTTTTACTGGGTAGAACTGGCTTTTCTAGCTAGTGAATCCCACATAATCACATGGGTGTATGCAGACGGTATTTGTAAAGGCTTTCTTCAAAGTAAAAATGGGATTTTTACACTATAATTTTATTATTTAATAACTAAAATTAAATACATATCCAATATTGTATTGAGTAGCGGAATAGAATATAAGTGGAATTTACCCAAATCTATATACATATAATAAAACTGTAGAGGTCGAATGTCTGTACATAGAAAAAAGTTCCTAAAAACCGAGTCATGGGGATCTAAGAAAGGAAATAGAACAAATCCATTTTTTTTTCAAATTTTTAGTTTGTATGTTACTACGGACTAATCTCTGTAACTGTTGGACCGATTTAAATGAAATTTTGCGTGGTAGTGTTTTATATCCCCGGTCAACATTTTAGATATATTTCATCCCGGAAAAATGAACTGTTCCCGTGGGATAGATCTGTTTGTGTTTTCTAGAGGCGAACCCGAGCAAAGCGAAGATGAGCCAATAGTCTATAATAACACAGGTAATACTTTGTTATAGGCCCAAATTCTGGGCTTACTAAATCGTAAATGTAGAATAATTTTTCCGTACATTTATATTCAAAATGCAATGAAAAATTTTCTTGCATGGCGCCGTAATAGCAACATCGCGTGCCTTTACCCATCAAATTTAAACACAGACAAAGATAATTTTTAATTTTTTAAATACTAGCTTCCATGCAATAGTGCAAATGCAAACGGTATTTTATTGACAAGGTCGTTTTCATTAAATATGGATCAACGTAATCAAGAAATAAACTATATTCATTAGGTACCATAAAAAAATTTTTTTCCTCGAAGCAAATATATTATATCGTTAAAACCGTAATAGTGTTGTAAGAATACTTTTTACTTCGCATTATCTATTTCAAAACTCCAATACATATTATGTACCAAATACCAATTACCAATAATAGAAATTCCGGGCTATGAAATAAAGAAAAAGAAAGAAAAAGTGCAAAATTGCCTTTGGATCTCCTTAAAAACCTAAAGCTACTACTGACTAACTCAAAAGTTTTCTTCTGGTCTTTTCATGTGTTGAGCTTTTCAGTAAAATAGATTATTTTATCAACATCTTTCAGCCAGTGACATGATATAATAATTTAAACGAGCTTTAATCACATCTTAAAATAATAAAGCTGTATTATACTTGGTACTTAACTTTTTACTTTTTGTTCAAGCGACGATATATTTTTCTTTGCAGTTCTAATTTTTAAAATTTGCATTTCTTTAAGAAGTACACAAAGTAGGTTTCTTATAACATAACGCTCTAATAACTTTTAATCTAGCAAAATCTTGTTCTAGCTGCCATAAATAATGAAACAACAGAATAAAAACTGACTGTGTAAATTGTAAAAAATATTTTATATAAAACAAAGCTTATAAGCTTTTCATTGATCGCAACTATGCGAAGGCATTATTGTTTTTAATAAAAAGTATGGGAAACGAGTATAGGTTTATACTTTAGATATACTATTATTCTGAAGTAGGTAGTGGTTTAATCAAGGATCATATTACTGGACAATATTTTAAAATATGAATATCTAATAGGTATTAGATATTAGATTTCCTATGCGTCGGCTGGCACTGACTTCGAAAATATCTGATTAGGTATTTATTCTAAATGAAAGCCCCCGTTTAGTTATTTTTTACATTTTAGTGCCTGGAAGTCGTTTTTTTTTTAAGTTTTTATTTGATAACATATTGGAATAAACAATTTATTTAAAAAATATATTTATTGTTGATTTTTTTAAAAACCGCTCGACCGATTTCAATTAAATTTATATGGGACAACCTGGGAAGTATATTCCTATATACCCTTTGAAACCAAAAAAAAATCCAAATCGGTTCAGGCGTCTTCGAATAATCGGTGAATATACATAAAAAAAAAGAAAAAAAAATCCGACGAATTGATGACCTCCTCCTTTTTGGAAGTCGGTTAAAAAGCGTTACGAGACATACGATTCCAACCGGCGTAGTTCGGATGTTAACGTCAAACGTTTGCCGTTAACTTGTTTACATCACGTGTTAGTTACTAAATGTGCTCAATGGTATTTTATATTATATTTACTAAGAGCAGCGCATGTGACGACAGTATAAGTACCAGACGAGCATTAGTGTTAAGAAGTGTATGTAGTGAGTAATTCAAATGCACTCTTATGACGAGGCCCTACATAATATATGATGGACATTCATTGGCACAAGTTTAGTATATGGGATGTGGCTTCTGGGGAAATGGGTGGTACTTTTGGATAGGAGAGGTGACTCCTTCATTTCCTCAAAATATTTTTTATGTATTAGGACTCCCTATCTCCTGCCATATGCAAAAATACCACCCACTTCTCCAGGGTCCACGTCCCATATACTAAACTGCAGCTTCTTATCTATCGGGCTATATGTATTACATTAATTAATATATTTTAAAATTATTACATTATTATGTTTAAGAGATATAGCAAGACCTGAGGGGTGGTTATAAATTATAATGACTAAAATTTGTATTTCTTTGTTTTAAATTCTCTTCTTACGTAAACCAGATACTTTTATAACTAACGACTAAGGTTTATAATAGGTAATACTATTTTAATATTATTTCTAAGCTTTAATTACCCAAGAACTATATAATATCAATCAATATAAAAAGAAAATATAATATAACTGCAGCATAAAACTAGGTGCATGTAAAAATTTATATTTTGTGGCATTGATAAATGAATTGGCGTCATATTTAGTAAATTAAAAAAAATCTTACATGTATTTACTTCTCACCTTTTTGTTGAATGTTGATATTTAAATGATTTATTTCAATGGCAACATTTAAAGAAACGTCAAAAATATGTATGACATATTATGTGATGTACGATTTATATTTTTATCAATTTTATTTAACTAATAAAAATTTCATGTAATGTCTTTATTTGATAACGCGGTCTTCAATTCTACCCTTTATGAGGCACTGTATCTTCAAATAGAAGATACTCTGGGCTTCGCGAAAAATTTCTTTGAATCGTGCGTGTCATCTTTGCCGATCGAAAACTTGCCGAAAACCTTCGTGAATTTGAGTGAACTATCGTTTTACGACGAGATTGCTGAGGTTTTTTACTTCAATGAGTTTCAATTTTTGTTATTAAAGACTTTCTTACTAATTTTATTATTCACCTTTTTATTAATCGTTATTTCCTGGAGAGTGTATGGGAGACGTATATCAGAAAGGTTTATGAGACCGGGTAAGTCGCAATTAAGCTTACATTGTTTTTTATTACTGCAAATTTAATAAAAAATGAAATAAATTGAATTTAATTAAATTTATTTACATATTTAAGGTATATAAAACAATGTTTTACTTTTTTGAAAATGAACTTATGTTTACTGTTTAATATTGAATGTAAGCTATTGATTTCTTTACATTTGTGACATTATTAAACATGAAAACTTATTTTTGTATTTGAAAATAATTTATGTACTTGTCTCTTTTTATGGAACTTATAGCAAGAAATTGTATTTACAGCTACTTCTGCAACAATAGAACAACTAAAAGAAAGTGTATCAAAACTTAAACTACCTAAAGAGCATACACCAAGGATATAAAAAAATGGCAGACAAAATCAAAAAGTTCTTTCAAAAGAAGAAAGCAGATGCTAAATTCAAATTAGCAGGACCTGGCCACAAGTTGAGTGAATCAACATTTAGTCAGTCCTCGAATTCATCTAAAAATGTTCCTGTTGTTAAAAGATCAGGGTTATCTGAGGAGAGTAAGGTGGCTGCAGAAGCAGCTTTGGCAAGGCTGCAACAAAAAAGAGATAATCCCGCATTCAATACTTCTTTAGCAGCAATAAAAGTAAATACATAAGTAAAAATAAATATATCTAATATTTTTAAATAGAATCATAGATATATTTGGCAAATTATTAATTTCATTTTAAACTTGTCTCAGTGATTGATGGTCGTTAGTTACAGAAAAAGATTATGTGTTCATATAATCCTGTTATTTCCATTTAAGATAACCTTTTACTCATCATACATTTGAATAAAACATGACTCATTTTTCTAATCTATATGTATAATAAAATTGTACATGGAAGGAAGATATTTGAGAAAAACTATTATTGGGGGTCTTTATTAATGCAAGAGAACCTACAACAATAGTTTTCTATTTAAATAATTATTTTTGTGTGTTTGTGTACACTAATCTCAGAAACGGCTTAAGCGATTTTGGTGCGATTTTCACTAATGTATTGTGGTAAGCTTCACTTAACATTTAGTATTTGTTTTATTTCAATCGGTTCATAAATTTAAAAGTTATGTCAATTTAAAGAACTATCTAAGGACTAGTGTATATACGAGTAATATAATAAAAATTCATATTATTCTTCACTTTTATCACAAGTAATAAAAAATATAAATGGTAATGAAAATAAACATATATTTCAACTTTTTTCTTATTTACTTTATGTTTTTATCTGTCTTTTTAAAACACCAATTTTCAGGCTCAAGTAAAAAAAGAACTAGAAAATGAAAACGCTACTAACTCGAATTCCTTAATCGAAACTAAAGAAAAGGAAAAAGCCGAATCAGAAATAGAAGTACCTAAGAATTTTGCTGCTTCAGGAGTTTACTTTAAGTAAGAAATGTACAATTTTCTTAACAATATTGTGAGACATTTATATTATAAGTATCATCACATTTATGAATAAGGACAAATAAGGTTTGTTAATCAATTCATAGTGAAATAAATCTTTACAAATAAATAAAATTGAATTCTGTTTGTTATTTTAAAATAACAGCTTTTTACTAAATGCATATGAAATTGTGATGAGAAACATACAATTTTTAAAATTTTCGGCTGTTTGTCTGTTTGTTCCGGCTAATCTCCTCTTCTGACTAATTTTGACGAACTTTCACTTAGCTGAACTTATAAGGAGTATCTTAGGCTACTTTTATTTTATTAAATGAATTAGGGCTCAAAAAACTTGAAACATACATTACTTAGGGACGCACGGAAGCGAATGTAGTTTAAATAAACATACATAGTTTTGTCTTAATATTTATTTTAGGTCAGGATATATATTTTATATTATTGACATTTATTTTTCATTTAAATTTCAGATGTCCAATTATAAGTAATGATGTTCTCCCCCGAGATGAATGGAAAAGGAATATTAAAACATTCTTATATGAACAGTTGGAAGATGAAAGGGGTTTGACGGCATGTCTTATGATACATTCCTGTAATAATAACAGGGAAAAGGTGAGTTGCTTACATTGTTAAGAGGTTAGATCATAGATATAATAATAATACAATAATCATAACTGATTTGATACCATTCATTGATATCTCTTAAGTCTCTAAGTATAGTATAGTAATTAAGTACTTTAAAAACTTGAAGTTATCTCCGATTTTACCTTGATTGGTCAAAAACGCAAAAACATTCTTTATTTCTTACCAAAATTATAGCATATAATGAATTTTTTGTGCTTAATTTGAGAAATGATTTGTTCCAAATACAAACTGTCAACCCCTATTTCACCTCCTTCGAGTTTCATTTTTGCCACAAAAGTAGCCCTTGTAGTTCTCCAATGTGCCATCCATCTCTAATAAAATTCATCGAAATTGATTCAGTGTTTTAGGCGTTTATACGTCACTTACAGACAGACTTACAGAGTTACTTTCGTACTTATAATATTAGTAGGGTATATCGTGACATACAGAAATTTACTAGATTTACTAGCGACTCACCCTCGCTTGGCTTCGGGTTCGTTCTTAGTGAAAAACTAAAACAAATTTATCCCATCGGAATTATACATTTTTTCCAGAACAAAATTTCATCCAGATCTGTTCAGCCGTTCTGGCGTGAAAGAGTAACAAACATCCATACTCACAAACTTTCACGTGTATAATAGTAATATGAATTTTTAGAACTAAATTGCAGATTTTGTATGAATAATTTATTTCAGGTAGAAACATGCGTGGAGACTCTATGCAAATATTTAGAGAACATTGTGACTCACCCTGAAGAGGAAAAGTATCAAAAAATAAGAATGTCTAACAGGTATTTGAAGTATCTAACTTTTTTCAGTTGACAATTGACATGCAAATGTAAAGATTCCATCCTAAAAGACATTTCGTAGTCCAGTCCAGCCATTTCGGAGATTAGCCGGAACAAACAGACAGACAAACATTTTAAAAATTGTGTTTTTCTTATAAATACCGTAATAAGCTGTTATTTTCACATTGGAATTAGAAATTTTAAATTAAGCTGCCTTTTCGAATTTTTGGCGCATATTTATTCTTGATTTTTTGTTTCCGACGCGACGTATCAAGTGCTTTCGAATGTTTCGAAAAATCCAAAAAGATAGTTTTATTTTAAAACGTCAAATATTCGCGTAAATCTAAGAAATAAGAATGTATTATTAGACACTTCAATTTTATTTATCTATATATAAGATTTTTAATAGATTTGATTTTAAATATTTTTATTTCTTTCCAGAGTATTCTGTGAACGAGTCCAACCTATAGAGGGGTCGATGGAACTATTGTTGGCAGCCGGATTTGTTCAGCAAAAACTGCCGAACTCTGAAGGGGTAGAAGAAGATTTTTTAGTATTTGTGAAGGAGAATGTGCCATCTGTTGAAAGTTTAATTGTAAGAAATATATCTTTTTTTTAAATTATCAACATTTTTAGAGTTCTATATCTCAAAAGAAAAAGAGGAATCCTTTTAAATAAAACTATCTTTTCGGATTTTGTCGCGGATTTATTTGTATTTTTATTTCCCGACGTTTCGAATGCTTTACAGCATCCATGGTCACGGGAGAGACTGAGGTGTTACATGTCTTGAATGTATAGTTGTTACAGACAGCCTACTCACAATTAACAAAATGAAAATTTCATCAATTACATTACAATGTTTTTTAACTTTAAACATTTTTATAATTTTAATTCGTTTTATAATTGAATATGGAATTTTATTTATTTAATTTTGCTGTTATTATTATAATTATTACAATTTTAAAATAATAATTAGTAATCTATATTTAGTGTTGCCATTATTCTATTTATAACCATAAAGAAAAATATAAAATATAGTATTAATTATTTAAGCCATATAATTGTTCTATGTGTAATTTAAAAAGTTAAAATTAATTAAGGATAATAATTTTAATTTAGTTTGCTATTATTTAAAAGACAAATTACTAAGCAACACTATTACAGTTTTTCGAGAACAAGTGATCATAAAAGGAATCCTTTAATGATCATTTCGTTCTCCGTCTGTCCGTCTGTATGTCTGTCTGTCAGCCAGTCAAGACCCCTTTTCTCAGGAACGCGCGGAGGTATCAAGTTGAAATTAATATCAAATACTATTTACAATCTTATTTCTGTGATGCGGCATTAGGTATCTTTTCGACCATTTCTCGTCTATTATTATCGCTGCATATAAAAATAGAGCAACCCACTAAATCTTACAACTGTAGGATTTGTTTAGGGGTCAACTCGTTATTATATTTCAGACTCCATTATTATATTTCAGACTCTAATCGAAGCGCTACGTTCTGCCGAGCCCATACAGCTAGAGTTAGATAGAAATTTGCAAGTACTGTTGCCGTCACAAGCGGCAAATAAAGTACAGTTGCCGCCATCTTTCTACGCTCTCACTCCGGAGGAACTGAAAAGGGAACAACAACTTAGGTATGGCTAGTTGGATATTTATTTGATTTATTTATTTGTATATTTAATTAATTATTTATTAATGTTAAATAATACTATTTTTTTCTGATCTTTTAGCGGATTTATTTTGATTTTTAGTTCCCGATGTGCTTCCTTTTACTTTAATTTAGTTTCGTTTTAGTTTTATTTAATATGTCAAATATTCGCGTAAATCTAAGAATGTATTATTATTTATGTATTTATTGATTTATATATTTATTAGTTTGTTTCTTTAATTTTTTTATTTGCCTTTAATACATAATAATTTTACTGTCTTTAGTGTTCAGTGTTTAGTGCTTAAATAATAAATAGGTACGAATTTCACGCAAACCCGTTGAATCGCTACAATGTGAAACAAACATACAAATTTTTGCTTTTATATATATATATATATATATATAATATTAATCCTAATGTGACTTTATTATCAGGACCGAAGCAATAGAGAGAAGTCAAATGTTACGTACGAAGGCTATGAGGGAAAAGGACGAAATGCGGGAAATGCGAAAATATAAGTTCGCAATTATTAGAATACGGTTCCCCGATGGTATTCTACTCCAGGTTAGTGTTTTATAATATATTTTTTAAACTCAGACCAAACAATTATATAGACAGCAAAATTAAATGTCAAAGTCTATAGTATAAGTATATATATATATATATATATATATATATTAGTCGTTACTTTCAATATATGAGATGGTAATCTATACTTATAATAAAATTCTAACTAAGTCGAATCTGTACATTAAATATTTTTTCGAAAATCTTATTGAAATAGTCATTATTATCGATAAAGAGGCCGAATCTATAGTTTTTAGAATTTTTGTCTGTCTGTCTGTGACCGCATCACGAGAAAACCACTGGACAGATTTTGATGTGGTATGATGATAGCTGGTTATCCGAGTCAATATGTAGGATACTTTTTACTGCGAGAAAATATCTCATCTCTGAGAAATCTATACTAAACGTTAAAACATCGCTAGTATCAATAATACTACTTTTGTATTGTTTAAACATTAGTTTTCTTCCCTCTGAAAGAGACATTGTATATTGTTAATTTATTTAATTTTATTTCTTTACTATAATTAAATTCGTTAGTTATTTTTATTAATTAACATTTATTTATCTGTTATAGTAATAACTATTCTATAAGTATACTGTTTTGGAACATTATTATTTGGCTTGATATTTATTTCTATGACACTGTCTATATTATTTCTTAGTCTTGAGAATTAAAAATGATGAAGCTATTAAAAATTTACTCACTATATAATATGACTTATTTCGTACAGGGAACATTTTCGGTTTACGAAAAATATAATGATATACACGAATTTGTACAAGAAAATCTAGAACATAGCGGTCTTCCCTTCGTCCTTAACACGCCAACAGGACATAAGTTGATTTTAGAGGAAGATTCTAATAAAACCCTTATAGATCTACGCCTTGTACCGGCCACAGTGCTCACTTTCGCTTGGCACAGTTCTATCATAGAAGATATAAACAGTAGCCCAAATAAAGATGTATTTTTGAAACCAGAAGTCATGGTTTTAGTCCAAGAAATTTAATGAAACTTCCTTAAAAGACTGCTTTATTTTTTCGCGCCATTTCTCAGTTTTCTGACATTGACGTTTAGGTACAGATGATATATGCAAAGGATTTTTTTTTTCTTAATTCAAGTTGGTTAAAATAAATGTGGTGTTTGATCTGGTTTTCTTTTATATTGTCATGTTATCTTGTAACTACGGAACTTAAGAATCAATATTAATTTTTTTTAGAGAGATCAGTGCCTAATTCATTTTTTTTTATAGGATCTTATATGAAAGGTTCGTGAAATAAATATGTGCATATTAAGAAAATATTGGTAAAAACTTTTAAAAATATCTGCATACAGCCATTTTTTCCTAAAATCAAAAAATCTATTTCGTAGTTACAAGGAAACACATCAACTGTAAAGATATTTAAAAAATACCTTTTTGTTCTTAATGGATCAATGTCTTATGGAAGTATGTGATAGAAAGTTAAATAATAATAATAAAACTAATTTATTTTAGTGCGATAACAAAGTTATCGAATTAATATTACTGTAAATTGCAAATTTTTAAAGCGAATCGTCTTAAAATAATCGATTTTTATTATATACGACATAAAACTAATTAAAATTTTCTATAAATAAAAACGGTAAGGAGAACTATCTCTTGTGATGAAATGTGTCCGTCGAAATTGCGTTAAATTAGGGTGGCGCCACATTAGCAAGTGGGTACATTTTCATTTTGAACAAAGCTCCAAAAGTTCATAAAAAATAAATAACTCATAAGTTTATATCACCAGTATTTTTTCCTTTTTGTCTCGGTTTTTTTTACTAAATTATTTTGGACTACGTAAATGTTTGATTAACTCAAGTCATCCAAAATATTAAATTTTTCAGCTCGACACACTTCACTCCTTTTACAAACTGTTAAATTCATAACATACCCTCTTACTACGGTAGCGACATTCTGGTGGGTTTTTGAACTGTTATTTACCGCTTTCAGGTGTACACGATTTCATCTTATCTCCTATATAAGATGTTCTCCTTACCTTACTGATTATTTATTGTTAAAATCGATTTTACTACAGATTAAAAATTTGCAATATCCGATGATTAGAGTAGCTCTTATATCCTATTATTCGTCCTTCCTTAGTGTATAATCTGTATTCACTATGGCTCTAAAACAATGTTAAATACTAGCATTTATAATTTTTACTGCATTTTCTTGCACTGAAATATTAGTCCCACTCTACACTGTACTTTAGTTTGTTTTGAAAGTTAGAAAGAAAATTAAATGTAAGATGAAAGAGCACGATTGTATTTAATTAATTAGGTGTTATCTTCAAAAATTCTAGTATGGCATAACTTTTTATAGAACACGTTATTTTGAATGAAATTAAACTTAATACTATTTTCAAATAATGACAACATTTTTTTTTATAATTCTCGTACATTCTATGTAATACAATTTGTTACAAAATTTATGTCTTAAGAAATTAAATATCTTGCGATAGTCTAAGATCCCGATCTATGTGGTGGACCCCTCACTCTTTTTCCAGGCGAAATATATTTTTTAAATTTTAAATAAAACTATCTTTTCGGATTTTTTCGCAGACTTATTTTGATTTTTGGTCGAATGCTTTACAGCAATCATGATCACGGGAGAGACTCTCAAAGGCACTATATAATTCTTACAAACAGCCTATCCACAAAAAAAATAAAAAATGGCACTAAAGTTTTTAAAATATTTGTTTATTTTAATTTTAAATATTGTTTAAAATTGAAATTCGGGAACAAAAATCAGAATAAATCCGCGAAAAATCCGAAAAAGTAGTTTTATTTAAAATGTCAAATATTCACATTTAATTATTAAATTAAGAAAGTTTTATACATTTTTTAAACAATACATTAACAAGCACGAGCCAAGAGGTTGTCACCAATATATAATTAGCTCCAGGTTATTTTCCTTCTTTCCTGGGTCGTTCCTTATTATGATTTATGACTAAAAAAATGTATGGAAAAATAACGAGGGGTCCCACCACATAGATCGGGATCTCCTACTATAAGAAAGACATTAAAATAATAAATAATATTTTATTGCTTTGAAGTTATGTTTAACATTTATATACCTACACGTTGTAATTGCAATAAGATATATTAAATAATTAAAGTATACTAAGTAGCCATGATTGTAAAAATGGTAAAACTAAAGTCTAAATGGTATTTTATAGTTTCCCCAAACAAATGTAAGTAACGCCAGGTACGAAGATATGTATGTTATTATAATTTATTTTTTGCTTTTAAGTATTTTTATATTTTATGTATATGTGGTTCACTTATGTGGAATAAATTTAATTAATGTTTCTATGTATTTTATTTTGCCCTTTAATATTAATATAACAGCTCGTTTTGACCGATTACAAATAAAACTAAAGAAAAAACCGACTTCAAGACACTAAAAAGTAAAAAATAATTAAACTAAATTAAAAATGTTTTTCGAGACAAATTGGCCCCTAAGATCCGCCATTTTGATTTAATGATATAATGATGATGTAATGTGATGAATGATGATGATAATGATATGACACTCGCGTTAAGAAGACAAATCAAACGACGCTTAAATCATCAAAATCAGTTAAGCCGTTCAGTAATTACGAGGGAACATAGGATCGGACGAACATACATATAGGACAAACACAACACCCTCCTTTGCGGCTTCACCGCACTCATGTAAAAAAAGAAACCACATGTATAAATTAACAATATTTTATTTACATTAAAAAGGCATTTACATAAAAAATCATGAAATTATTTACCATAATATCTAAACATCGTATTATTCATTACTAGCAGCTCGCCCTCGTTTGCTCAGGTTCACCTCTAGGAAAACAAAAACAAACCTATCCCACGGGAATCGTACATTTTTACGGGATAAAAAATAGCCTGTGTGTTATTCCAGACTATAATCTATCTCTGTACCAAATTTCATCCAGATCCGTTCAGCCGTTCTGGCGTGAAAGAGTAACAAACATCCATACATACTCACAAACGTTCACATTTATTATATTAATACGGAACCTCTTGCACGTTTAAAGCCAATTTATTCATAGAATTTTTCGCCTCGAATTACGAATATAGAAAGAGTCAAGCAATGTAAATTCTACCGTATACATAACTAAAATACGGTACATTTTACATTACTTTCCTATATTCCTTACGAAATTACTAACTCTGAAAATACTAGAGACATTATGAAAATTAATCAATCGAATTAACATATTATAATAATTATTTTATTGAATAATCAAAGAAATCATATGAGAAAATTATATTAAACTAGTTTTACATACATTTACAACTAAATTACACTAAACAAAGACCATCCTTACTTGAACACACTTCAATAGTAAATATGTAAATTGTAAATCTTAAACATCGATCAAAACTGTACTAGATACACAATCCCATGCAAAAGTTCTCTTCAAACTTTCACCAATTGTGTTTAGGTAATTGTTCTAGTTGAAATAAATATACAACAATGTAAATTGAACCTTAAATACAGTGCTTAAAGTTGTTTTTGCAAAAAAAAGCGAAGCTGATTCTAGTACTTTTTTGATCGATGATCTTAAAAGTGGAATATACCCTACTCTTAATTATCGTATTAATATGAATCTTAGGAAATATATACTCGCGAGTTACCTTCGCTTCGCCCAGGTTTGCCCCCAGCAAGCGGATTTGGTTCAAAATTTTATGGTTTTTATATATATTTTGGTTCGAAACCCTAATTTCTTTTCTAAAACAAAAGCTATCTGCCAGTGAAAGTCTCATCAAAATCGGTTCTGCCGTTTCAGAAACTAGCCAGACCAAACTGACAGACAAAAATTTTAAAAATTGTTTTTCTCTCTTATAAGACACATTCGTATGAATATGTACTGCAAACAATTCAATTTTATTTATCTGTATAGATGTGTAGATTTGTATGAATGTAACATCCAGATAAATGCAACTTCATGAAATCATGATCGAGTGGATTATAGAACCAAGATGGTGGATAGTGGGACTCTTCAATGGCTTATAGTAAAGCCTATATCTCATTTTAACTGTAAATAAATTTATGAGTCCCATACATTACAGTTAATCAAAATGTCTGTTTTTTAATTATATACATACATTATTATAACATGTTGCGGGCATTTTGTAACATTCGTCATTATAGAAACGACGCCATCTGTTTGTAAACGGTCACATTACTATAAGATGATAAGGAGATAGTTTGAGACCATGGAAAGGACATAGGATACTTTTTATCCCGGAAATCATCCCTTAAGGAGGTGAAAATGGCGATAAACGTTTGTATTATGAAGCAAGCCAGGGACGAACCCGAGCGACGCCAGGATGAGTCGCTAGTACTATATACAACTAAGCCATGACATCTCGTACAGTTTGCTCTGGCAGTTTATTTTCAATGGTGACAGATTTCGTGCAATCTTCAGTCTTGTAAATGCCGACGAGACGATTGGATACTTCGAACATGTTATATCGGAGCGATATTATAATGAATTGGGCATTTTTCGTGCGTTCCTGTAAAATGAAACAAATTTAGTATGACAGTCTGTAAATGTCCATACTTTTTAGTCGATGTATTATAACTCAATTTTCAAATTTTATGTTCATTTTCAGGGTTCCGTACCCAAAGGGTAAAACGGGACCCTATTACTAAGACTTCGCTGTCCGTCCGTCTGTCACCAGGCTGTATCTCATGAACCGTGATAGAGAGTTGACATTTTCACAAATGATGTATTTCTGTTGTCGCTATAACAACAAATACTAAAAAGCAGAATAAAATAAATATTTAAGGGGTCTCCCATACAACAGACATGATTTTTTTACCGTTTTTATAGATAATGGTACGCCGTTTTTATGGATAATAGTACATGGTGCGAGTCGGAATTAAGTCCGACTCGCACTTGGCCGGTTTTTTTATATTTTTTACTTATACTCTATTTTTTTTATTTTTTTCACTGTAATCTCAGACTAAGGAATAATATAGATAGAGTGTCATAAAACTATACATGGAGCCCAAACAATTATGTTTCAAAATATTTAAAATAATATAATAAAAAATCTTTTAAAACAAATATTAATAGAATATTCATTGCTGTAATAAGTAAATTGTAATTTAAAAAAACAGCTAATGGATTTTATTATAGTAATAATAAGCCAATAGTATGTCTTTCAAGGAAAAGAGAACTAATGCTTAAAACATACAAAATAATATTTTATTTCTCATATTTTTTTCTCAAAAATTGTAAATTAACGACTAATACCTACATAATTTTTTTCTTATTCTTTGAAGAGAGTAAACGATATGTATAGCAAAATCGAGTATAGTAGCATAAACAACAAAACACGCTACTATTTTTGAATTTTACATTTTCTTGGCGAGCTCCGTCCATATAAAAATTTAGTCTGGGATCTAAATATCATAAACAATTAACACAGAATGATGTAAGCTCACTCATCTCAGTACAATATTTATCAGTATTTCAAACACTCAAAGTAAGAAGGCTTATGTAAATGTATATATTAATACATGAAGCAAAAACTTTGTACTACTTTTTACGAAAATTGTGCGGACGGAGGTGTATGAAATTTCCCACACTTATAGTTTATAATAATAGAGAAGGAGTGCAGAATGCTAATATTTTTTTTGAAATTATGCATAAAAAATACATTAAATAAAAAAAAACATTACACACACTACCATGTATTTGACACACACACGCATATATACTCTTTTGTTTATTGTTAAAGTCTGTGGTCAAATTCTCAATTTGACCACAGAGAGAATTATGTATACTTTAATAGCTATTGACGAGTTTTAGTTTTATAAATAAAAAAAATTTATAATAATCATGGTCGAAGTTCGACCACTCGGTGAACACTTGTATATTTAAATCCTTACTCAAATCTCTAACAGACCTTTATATAATTAGCGACAATGGATACATTTTTAAAGTCCAAAGCAGCATCTATTTCATCCATCACATACAAAGGCGTCGGTTTGTAGTAATGTAGTGCGAACACTAACGCGAGGGACGAAAGAGTTTTCTCTCCACCGGATAAATTCGATATGTTCTTCCATGATTTATTCGGTGGACGGACACTGGAATATAAATGGATAAAACATTTAATACTTTCTTTAGATTTATGAATATATTTGACACTAGCAACTCACCCTCGCTTCGGGTTTATGCCTAGACAAAAACAAAAAACAAATCTATCCCACAGAAACCGTACAGTTTTTCGGGATACAAAGTAGCCTATGTGCTATTCCAGGCTATAATCTATCTCTGTGCCAAATTTCATCCAGATACGTTCAGCCGTTCTGGCGTGAAAGAGTAACAAACCATATCCATATCCATACATACTCATCACAATCTTTCACATTTATAACATTAATATGGACTAGTATGATTTTAAATAAAAGTATCTATTTTTCGGATTATTTCGCTGATTTATTTTGATTTTTGGTTCCCGAAGTTTCGAATGCTTAACAGCAATCATGGTCACGGGAGAGACTGATTTCAAGTTACGTCAAAACTTATTATAATAGCATTTCTTGCCTTAAGTTTTTTTTCCTTATACCGGCATTTTATAATAATTCTTAATTGGTATGAACGTTATTTTAATTCGTAATCGCTATATTGTCGCCTTATTTAATATAATAATGCCCTCGCTCGCTAGTGTGAGACATGCACTATATGTGCTAAACAGTACCCAAATCCATAGAGTAGCGTCAGGGTGAATAAGAAACAAATAAACACATACAAGGCAGTGGTAGCCCAGTGGTAACGCGCTCGCTTCGGAAACCGAGTGAAGCGGGTTCAAATCCCGGGTGAACCTTTGATATTTTCATGTGCGAATCATTTCCAACATGATTACCATTTGCCTTACGGTGAAGTAAAACATCGTGAGGAAACCTGCATGTCTGAGAGAACCTAGCAAGTTTTCGACAGATATGTGATACAATACACACATACAAATATTTTCATTCAAAATAGCAGTCCAATATATGAAAATAAAATACCTAAATATAATTCCTTCGGTGAAAGGATCCAATGAGTCGACCAACTCTAACTCAGCATCACCACCCAAAGTGATCATTTGGTACATCTCCTTTAATTTAGTTGTTATTGTATTGAAACCTGAAATAAACATAATATTGTTATTAAAATTGTTTTAAAATACAAAAATATGCTGGAAATGATAATAATATATAGCATAAGAAAGATTTAATAAGAATAAAATTATTTTTAAAAGAGAACAGCTAGATTATCTTTTTCAAAATGTTCGTGCTAAAATATGTTACATTTAAATACATATTCTATTTAAGGAATTCTATTCAAAATGTTATCTGTCATCCATACTAATATTTATAAAAGTGAAATCGTGTTGGTTCGTTTGTTTGTTTTTGTCCAGAAAATTTGAAAACCCGAAAGTGTTTTTCAATAGTATATTTATATAAACGTATAGATTACAAACAGATTCATAAAAACTCAGATAAAAAATTAAAATAAATAACTAACCACATAGGAAATCTGTAGTACGTTTCTTCCTCAATTGGTCGTATAGAGCTCTCATTTCATTCCTTTTTGTCGTTATATCGTCCAATTCTGCAGCTCTTTTCAAATATAAATCCTCTTTTGTTTTGTAATCCTATAAAATTTTCGCCTTTTTTAAGTTATTATTATTATCATTTAAATATAATAGTCATCAAATTATTGAATGTTTATTACTTTTTTGACGACACGTTTGGCTCAGTTTGTCGTGACCCTACTTTACTTGCTATGCTAGCCTTCGCGGGTTCTAGTCCGGCTGGGGGCAGTCACTTGTGTAATGAGCTATCTTTGTACTCCAGTCACGGGTGCTTATATTTATAATATGTATGTATTTAAAGTTATATGTAATGTATCAACTATCTGGTATCCATAACACAAGCCTCGTAGCTTACCATGGAACTAGATGGTGCTGTGTTAATGTCCCAACATATTTATTATTCTTATATTTATAATTATTTTCAATGGAAGTTCAGGTACAAAAATATTGACGAATTGTGCACCCACTTATTTTTAAAGTCGGTCTAAAACAAGTTTTAATAAAAGTCTTTTGTAATATATGTTACTAAAGTATATATTAGATACCAACCGGTATTGTTGCACTGCTTTCTGCGAGAGAGACGACACTACACAACCGAAGTTAGCCGACTATCGCTTTCTAATACACGATGTTAGATACTGCTCTGTACGAGCGAAACCACACTACAACACCACAGTTAGCAGACTATCTCTTTCTAATGCACGATGTTAGATATTCCTCCGTGCGAGAGAGATGACACTACAAAGCCGAAGTTAGCCGACAATCTCTTTCTAATACACGATGTTAGATACTGCTCTGTGCGAGAGAGACGACACTACAAAACCAAAGTTAGCCTACTATCTCTTTCTAATTCACGATGTTTACTAACTAACCTGTATCGCCTGTATATTGGGTTTATTATCACCAATCCTACTTTTCTGCGCAGTCAATCTATTCCTTAGTTCTTCCACTTGACATTCCTCTAGTTCCTCAGGCGAGTGTCTCACCAGAGGCGTCGGACGTTCAATTCCCGGTACACCGTCTAAGCCTGGGTCTTCCAGTTTTAATGATTTTAACTGGAATAAAAATATATGATAACATATTTATAAAGCCAGATTATTATTTTAATAGTCAAATATACAGTTATTAGTTTTTGAGTTTGTCCATTTGTTTAGTAATTTGTTAATTGTATATGTATCAATCACAATTAAACATTAAAATTAGTAAAGTATAAAGTAAAGACACAATACGAGCTCCCCTTTCCACACATCTATAAATAAAGTGGTGAGTTCCTTCATAATAATCTACATGTTTCATGGTCATGGACCAAAAATTTTATTCAATCCGTACTAATATTATAAATTCCGCCCGCATTCAGATGACCAAAAACCAAATTCTTAGGTTTTACATATTAGTATACTCTTACAATGCAGTTTTTGTATTTTTTCCCAGAAATGAGACATTTCCCGCGGTAAAATCCTATATGTTGACACGAATAACCAGCTATCATCGTACCAAATTTCATCAAAATCCCTCCAGTGGTTTTTCTGTGATGCGGTAACAGACAGACAGACAAACAATAATTCTTAAAACTATAGATTCAGCCTCTGTATCAATAATAATGTTTATTTCAATAAGATTTTCCAAAAAATATTTAATGTTCAGATTCGGCTTAGTTACAATTTTATTATATGTATAGATATAACTAAATATTCTGTGAATATTTCAAGCGTCTACCTGTTGCCGTTATCAATATCGAGCAAAAATTAGCAAAAAAATCAAGTTGTTGTATGGGAGCCCCCCTTCAATATTTGTTTTATTCTGTTTATTAGTATTTATTGTTATAACGGCAACAGAAATGCATCATCCGTGAAAATTTCAACTGTCTAACTATCACGGTTCAAGAGATATAGCCTGGTGACAGATGGACACACAGACAGACAGACGGACAGCAGAGTCTTAGTAATAGGGTCCCGTTTTACCCTTTGGGTACGGAAACTTTTAAATATCATAATGTTATAAAAAAAAACATAAATTTTTTGGTCAATAACTCACCTCTTTCTCCCACATGGGCGTCTTCGTTTTACAATCCTGTACGGATTTCTCCATTTTGTTCACAGCATCGTTCGCTTCCAAACGTTCGGCTTTTGCTTTGTTCTCCTTACTTTGTAACTTTGCTATTTCTTGACGTAGACCGGAGAACTCACTCGTGCCTTCGTTTATTTGTTCTTCTAGCTGTATAATGAAATTTAAATTAGAGACAATTTTTATGAATAACTTATAGTACAACCACTAGCCACTCACCCTCGCTTCGCTCGGGTTCGTTCCTAGGTATGTTTTAATTTGTTTGAGCAGAACTCTAATTCTTTTTCTAAAATAAAAGTAGCCTATGTTACTCCCTATAACATCAGCTATCTTCCAGTGAAAGTCACGTCAAAATTAGTCCAGTCGTTTCCGAGATTATCCAGAACAAACAGACAGACAGACAAAAAAAATGAGTTTTTCATGTCATCATAAGTACCATATATAATTTTATATGCATTTAGTAAAACGCTGTTATTTTGACATTACAAACAGACACTTCAGTTTTATTTATCTGTATAGATTAGTACTACAATTTTCGGTTTAATGTATGCCACAGTTTTAATGTGTGTGTATGTTTGTTTCCTTTAAGGTGAAGCGGCTGGATTGATTTTGGATGAAATTTGTTACACAGACAGTCTATGACTTAGAGTATCGCATGTTTAGCAGCTAGGTTTGCACAAAAACGATGAAAACAAATCAAGAATTGCTGGACATACTTTAATGGATGTTTATGATTATCCCATTGTTTATTATTAATTATCTATACTAATAATATTATAAAGAGGTAAAGTTTGTGAGATTGTGACGTTGTAGGGGGTAATCTCTGGATCTACTGAACCGATTTAGATGTAATTTTGTGAGGAGATAGTTTGAGGCCCTGGGAAGGACATAAGATATTTATATCCCGGAAATCATCCCTTAAGGGGGTGAAAATGGTGATGTAAGTTTGTATTGGGAAGCAAGCTAGGTAATATTATAGATGTGAAAGTTTGAATGGATGTTTGTTACTCAATCACGCCAGAACAGCTGAACGGATCTGAATGAAATTTGGCACAGAGATAGATTATAGTCTGAAATAGCACACAGGCACACAATACTTTTGATCCCGAAAATGTGTACGGTTCCCGTGGGATAAATTTGTGTTTGTTTTTCACAAGTTAGTTCAAGGGAAATTTACAAAAGTTACAAAAAGTTGTAAGGGAGTCAAGATTAATTTTATTTATATCAAATCATTCACTAAAAACCTACAGACTATAGAGCATGTTCATTAACAATACTTACTTCTTCGCATTCCTTCTGATATTGTGTACTGTCCAAACTAAGTTGACGTTTTTGATTATTTAAACTTTCCAAATTCTTTTCAGTTTCTTTTAAATCCGCCTCCATTTGGTTTATTTTGTCTTTTGATTTCTTTGCGTTTCTGAAAGGTATTAACAAAATAACTATTTAAAAAAAATAATTATTGAAAAAAAAAATGTGTTGAATCGACTTGACTGAATTTGATAAACTCTTTGCGTACTCTAGCTGGATTGTTCTTAGTTATATTTAGACCCGGTAGATGGCGTTGTTATTAAGATCTAGAAATTTCTTTTTTAAATTTCTAAATAAAAAAAGATTTTTGACAAGACATCTACAACTACAATCTTTCAAATTAAAACAATTCTCTTACATCTTACCTAACACTTGTATTGATAGCCACTTTAAGTTTAGTTATTTCTGTGGATATCTTATTTATCTTCTGACTCAAATCATCTACGTTCTTCTGTAGATCTTTCACTTTGTTGCCAGCGACTGCTGAGATTTGTGCATCGACTCCATGCACTTCTTTTTCTACCTTAAATTATATTAATAATAATAGATTAAAAAAATATTTAAAACCAAGTGCGAGCAGGATACGCGCATGAAGGTTTCCATACCATTATTATCTATAAAAACGGCAAAATAATCATGTCCGTTGTATGGGAGCCCCCTTAAATATTTATTTTGTTTTGTTTTTTAGTATCTGTTGTTATAGCGGCAACAGAAATTCATCATCTGTGAAAATGTCAAATGTCTACTTATCACGGTTCATGAGATACACAGCCTGGTCACGGACAGACCGACAGACGGACACTGGGAGTCCTAGTAATAGGGTCCTCTTTGGGTATGGAACCCTGAAAATATGTATAAGTATTGTAAATTATAATATTGCTATAATATAAATAATTATCCATCTATCCCGCCACTGTTTCCTACTATTTCCCACATGGGTTGACCGAAAGAGATTTCTTATAGAGATAAGTCCATCTTTGTCTACATAACTCTGTATGTATTTTATTATCACAATAGACCAGAAATGGTCGCAGTGACAACGAAATAGCCGCAAAATAGAAATGATATATTTATTTGTTTTAACTGTTAGATCCAATCTGTATAAATATTATAAATGTGAAAGTTTGTGAGTATGTATGGATGTTCGTTACTCTTTCACGCCAGAATGACTGAACGGATCTGGATGAAGTTTGGCGCAGAGATAGATTATAGTCTGGAATAACGCGTAGGCTACTTTTTATCCCGAAAAAATATACGATTCCCGAGGGATAGATTTGTCTCTAGTAAAGAATATAATATAATTTATATATCTAATAAGTGTTTTTTTTTTCCAATTACTTAATTGTTAACCGACTTTAAAAACGAGAAGAATAGAAATTTTTAATTCAATCAAATAAAAAATAATACATTAATATTAAATTTTTAAATTTGGTCCTTATTTCAAAACTTAAAAAAAAACATACTTCTCCAGCATCATATCTGGCTTTCTCCAACTTTTCCTCAGCTATTTTCAAATTTCCTTCCAACTTCGCTTTCTGTTTTGCATCCACTTTACTCGAAGACACTTTATTTTCTTGTTGTTTGATTTGCATCTGTGAGTAATAATTATTATCTATACAGATAAAAATAAATGAAATGTCTGTTTATAATGTCAACATAACAGCTTTTTACTAAATACATATTAAATCATATACAGTGTAAATAAAAAAAACCAGTTTTTAAAATTTTTGTCTGTCTGTTTGTTCCGGCTTCTGGCAAAACGGCTGGACCTATTTGACGAGACTTTCACTGGCAGATAGCTGATCATCAGTAATTTAGCTACTTTTATATTAGAACAAGAATCAGGGTTCCGCGTAAAAACATTAAAATGCATGAAATTGTGAACAAAATCGTATTTAGGGACGCACGCGAGCGACGCGAGGGTAAGTCGCTAGTTATTATAATAGATGATATTATCTTTATATATATAATTCTTCTGTGAGTGTGTATGTCACTGAACTTCTCTCAAACGACTGGACCGATTTTGATGAAATTTTTTGTGTGTGTTCAAGGGGATCTGGGAATGGTTTAGATTCACAATTTGAATAATAATTTTCATCAAAAAAATTATTAAAAAAAGTTTGAAATTTTCAAATTAAAGACGTGTAGACAGGACAACGTCTGTCGGGTCCGCTAGTACTTTATATGATACATTAAATTTTTCGCTGGAGAGACTAAGGTTTGAACCCGCTTTACTCGGTTTCCCGAGCGAGCGTGTTCCCACTGAACTATCACTGCCTTTTAAAAGTTAGCAGCTTAGTTAAATTAATTCTTAGTTAATTTAATATTCAAATACAAAAATATTCCTTCTGAAAGAAAATAATTTAAATAACATAACGATATAATATACTCAAATTTTATTAATTTACCTTCAGAGCTGGTACTTCTTCAGTTAAACTCTTCAATTCAATATCTAACTTGTGCAATGTATTTTTTCCTTCGCGTATACTTCTTTGTGTTGACACCAAAGAATCTTCTAACGTTGATTGTTCACTGCGTAGTTGAGTCAATCTATGGAAAATATTCAAGTTTAAAAATTTTCTAGTTTAGGTTGCAAATTGAAAAACAGCTTAAGCCACTAATTATAAAAACAATAATAATGTATCTTTACACAGTATAAAATGAAGTCGCTTCCGCTGTCTGTTCGCTTGGATCTTTTAAACTACTCAACGGATTTTAATGCAGTTTTTAGCAATAGATAGTGATACAAGAGGAAGGTTTATATGTATAACAATTAATAAATGCATATTATAGTACAGAAAAGCCAAGAAATTCAAAGATTTGTATTTCATACTAACAGTTAAAACGTACCGTAGTTTTGTTTAACAAAACTATATTTTCGGATTATTTCGCGGATTTATTTTGATTTTTCGTTCCCGACGTTTCGAATGCTTTAGAGCAATCATGGTCACGGGATAGACTGTCTCTCCAAAAATCTAAATAAATCCGCGAAATAATCCGAAAAGAAAGTTTCATTTAAAATGTCAAATATTCGCATAAATTTAAGAAAGTATTATATAATAATAATGTACACAGATATTATAAAAACGTAACGTTTGTAAGTTCGTATCATGTAGAGGATTTTTTCAGATGTCTCAAAGGTCTTTATATAGTAGTTACAGACTGCACCTAGCCATAAAATTATATAATGATTTTTTAAATAACATTTTTTTTTCTGGTCTCTAAAATCCAAAGTCTGTCCCGTGACCATGATCCCTGTAAAGCATTCGGAACCGTCGACAACCAAAAATCAAAATTAATCCGCGAAAAAATCCGAAAAGATAAAAAAAAATCATTTTTTCGTACAATTTTTCAAATATTTTTTCATACAAATTTTGTCCTGACATTTACAAACAGGACAAAAAAATAATAATTTGCCAAATATGTAGGTGAAAAGCCTTTTTGAAGTAATTTGCTTACATACAATTTGGTAATTGATTTTCCCTAGGTATATTTTTTTGAGCGTAACTCTAATCCTTTTACTGAAATAAAAGTAGCATAAGTTACTCCTTATAACATCAACTACCTGCCAGTGAAAGTCCCGTCAAAATCGGCCCAGCCGTTTCGGAGATTAGCAGGAACAAACAGACAGACAAGATAAAAATTTTAAAAATTGTGTTCTCCTATAAATACCGTATATGATTTATCATATGCATTTAGTAAAAAAATGTTATTTTGACATTACAAACAGACATTTCAATTTTATTTATCTGTATGAAGTTGTCAAATATTCGCCGTAAATCTAAGAAATTATGTATTAAATAATAATCAATGTTTCTCCCAACCTCTGTTCCAAGTGAGCCAACTTCCGCTCACTGTCCTGTATGGCGGCGGGGTCCGCCTCGCTGGTGTCCTGCTGCACGGCGCTGGACATGCGCCCGCGCATCGTCACTTTGCCTCCACCAGACATTGTTCCTGAAAAAGATTGTTATCTATACTACTATTATAAAGAGGTAAAGTTTGTTAGTTTGTGAGTTTGTGCACGTACACCACCTGGCACTATCCTCACGGCGCCCATGGCTGAAGAGTAGCCTAGAGTTTCGAGTAGAATATTAATCTTGTTAATTAAATGGAAACGGTATCCATAGAAAAAATATTATTGAAATATGCAAGGACGTCGCGCCAGATACACACATTATTATTATTTTTTCATAAATGTTATACGACCACAGTATTCATGATTTTAATTCTTTTTTTTTAATCTTAAAGAACTATAAAAGTCGATTAAGTATCGTGGTACAACATCGAACTTTTTTCTTAGACATATCTTCTAAATAACTTAATAATGTACGAAATAGCATTAAAATAATATAACAAAAATATCCCAACACTGGCTTCTTAACAGAAACCCTCAAAAACTTTACCTATCCCGACCCGGGACTCGAACCCAGAACCACCTGATTTCCACACACACATACTAGCCTCTAGACTTACACAAAACAAAAAACCAGCCAAGTGCGAGTCAGACTCGCACACGAAGGGTTGCGTACCATTATTTATAAAAACGGCAAAAAAAATCACGTTTGTTGTATGGAGCCCCCCTTAAATATTTGGGTCATTTTAATTTAATTATTTTAATTTATAGTGAATATATAACTAAATATTCTGTGAATATTACAAGCGTCTACCTGTTGCCCTTATCAATATCGAACAAAAACGAGCAAAAAAATCACGTTTATTGTATGGGAGCCGCCTTAAATTTAAATATTTATTTTATTGTTTTTTAGTATTTGTTGTTATAGCGGCAACAGAAATACATCATTTGTGAAAATTTCAACTAACTACCACGGTTCATGAGATACAGTCTGCTGACAGACAGACAAGCGGACGGACAGCGGAGTCTTAGGAATAGGGTCTCGTTTTACCCTTCGGGTACGGAACACTAATAAAAGTATTTTAATAAAAACAAATCAATACCAGCAATTTCAATAACATCCCCCTGTAAAGTCACCACGCGGTATCTTGTAGCTCCGTAGGCTATTCTAGACGCTTGTTCCAGATCTTTCGCCACAAGTGTTTCTCTCAAAGCGTAATAGAAGGCTGGCAACACTCTTTCATCCTTCACTTTGACGAGATCGAAGAGACGTGGTGCGTTTTCTGGACTGGAATAAAACATTACAAATAGAGAATATGTGTGTAATATATACTAATATTATAAAGGGGTAAGGTTAGACTTTGTGACGTTGTAGGAGGTAATTTTTGGACCTACTGAACTGATTTAGATGAAATTTGGTAAGAAGCTGGTTTGAGATCCGGGGAAGGACATAGGATACTTTTTATCCCGGAAATCATCCCTTAAAAGGGTGAAAATGGGGATGAAAGTTTTTATTGGAGAATCAACCTAGGGACGAACCCGAGCGAAGAGAGGGTGAGTCGTCGAAAAATATATTTGTATATGTGTGTATGTATATATATATATTATAATTGATGTGCCTGTTTGTCGAGCGCCATGAAGGTGGCGCGGCCCACTTCGCTAAATAAAAAAGAATTAAATCTTGCAACACTAAGTCACCGTATTATACACAATGCTTGTTATCACGTTCATCGATATGTTGTGGCAGTGGTTATCTAAGATAAAACAAAACGGCAGCACTAACTAAGTCCCTCTATTCTGGCAATTCTTGATGAGATGCGCCTGCTTGTCGAGCGCCACGAAGGTGGCGCGGCCCACGTCGTGCCGCTTGAGGTGCTCCACGCAGGCCTGCGCCGTCTCCACGCTGTCCACCACGACGTTGTCGAGCGCGCCGCAGCACGTGGATATTGCAACGTCGTATTTACCATCTATCGCTCCTAGATCACCCTGTGGCAATGGCAATTGTTTTTGTTACTATCTATACATCTATAAGATAAATAAAATTGAAGTGTCTGTTTGTAAAATTGAAGTGTCAAAATACCAGCTTTTTACTAAATTCATACGAAATTATATATGGTACTTATAAGAAAAACACTTTTTTTTTATTTTTGTCTGTCTGTCTGTTTCTTCCTGATAATCTCTGAAACGGCTCGAGCGATTTTGACGGAACTTTCATTGACAGATAGCTGATGTTATAAGGAGTAATTTTGGCTCCTTTTATTTTTTTAAAGAATTAGGGTTCCGCTCAAAAAATTAAAAGTGCTTAGGGACGAACCCGAGCGAAGCGAGGGTGAGTCGCTAGTCTATACTAATATTATAAAGAGGAAAGATTTGATCTTTTGTTAGTTTGTACCGAATAGGCTCCGTAACCACTAAACCTATTTAAATGAACAATTTGGTAAGAACATAGTTTGAGACCCTGCGAAGGATATGGGATAGTTTTTATCCCGGAAAAATATACGGTTCCCGTGGGATAGATTTGATTTTGTTTTCCTAGAGGTGAACCCGAGCGAAGCGAGGGTGAGACACTAGTATAACGAAGTGTTTCTAATGCTTCACAGCAACCATAGTAACGGGAGAAATAAAATAGTTTTATAATTTATTTAAAATGTATATATATTAATCTTACCAGTCTTCCGAATATTCCAGGAAGTCGGCCAGCCTTCTTTTCTTTCATCAAAGAGTCTAACACACGACCACGAGATTTATTTGCGCTCATTGCTTGACGAGATTCTTCTAATTGGGCTCTAAAATATAACTTATACTTTAAATATATATTTAAAAAAAACTAAAGTTGGCATCTAAAATACGCCATTTTAAAATCACCATTAATAGTCTAATCATCAAGTGCTTCTTAGGTCGACTTTTTCGAGGTGTCATTCGATCCGCAATAGCATGTAGATAATTTAAAAAAAAAACAAGTTCCACATGCAAAAATTGCAAAAGTTATAAACAATTAACTAAAAATAAAAAAGGGGATGCAGTTTTTTGCAAATATCTCAAAATTGAGATTATTAAAATCTAAACGTCTCCCGGAACTGTAGGATTATTATTCGATTATTTATAATTTTCTGATTTTTTACTTTTTATTTTTTTAAGTCTTTTTTTTTTTTGTAAAAAGTTTTTATTTTTCATTTTTAGTGTAGGTTTAGTAGTTAGCAAAATAAGAAGTAATTATTTTAAAAATTCTGTAGATGAAAAAAAAAACAATCAATATCTATATATAATCAATCACCCCTATTTTCTACATTTAGTGGTGTTTTTTTTTTCAATTTAAATGGAATCATTGAAATCGTTACATTGCAAAAAGTTATGCGTGGTCAAACATAAGAAAACACGTGTGGAATTGCGAACTTTCCCCTTTTTTTCGTCGCTTAAAAATCTTATTAAAAAAAGCCCAAATAGTAATAACTTTGGCGATATAAATAAATTTTAGTATAATACTTTCTTAGATTTACGCGAATGTTTGACATTATTAAATAAAACTATCTTTTCGGATTATTTCGCGGATTTATTTTGATTTTTGGTTCCCGACGTTTCGAATGCTTTACAGCATCCATGGTCACGGGAGAGACTGAGGTGTTACATGTCTTAAAGATATAGTTGTTACAGACAGCCTACCCACAATCAACAAAATGAAAATTGCACCAATTACATTACAATATTTTAACTTTAAACATTTTTATAATTTTAATTATAATTGAATATGGAAAATTATTTATTTAATTTTTGCTATTATTTTTATAATTATTACAATTTTAAAAATATTAATTAGTAATATATATTTAGTGTTGCCATTATTATATTTATAACCATAAAGAAAAATATAAAATATAGTATTAATTATTTAAGCCATATAATTGTTCAATGTGTAATTTAAAAAGTTAAAATTATAATCCTTAATTAATTTTAACTTTTTAAATTACACATTGAACAATTATATGGCTTAAATAATTAATACTATATTTTATATTTTTCTTTATGGTTATAAATATAATAATGGCAACACTAAATATAGATTACTAATTAATATTTTAAAATTGTAATAATTATAAAAATAATAGCAAAAATTAAATAAATAATTTTCCATATTCAATTATAATTAAAATTATAAAAATGTTTAAAGTTAAAATATTGTAATGTAATTGGTGCAATTTTCATTTTGTTAATTGTGGGTAGGCTGTCTGTAACAACTATATCTTTAAGACATGTAACACCTCAGTCTCTCCCGTGACCATGGATGCTGTAAAGCATTCGAAACGTCGGGAACCAAAAATCAAAATAAATCCGCGAAATAATCCGAAAAGATAGTTTTATTTAATAAATTTTAGTATATATTATTAAAGAAACAGTATCTTTAAAACTTAATGTGTAAATATAATACTTTCTTAGATTTACGCGAATATTTGACATTTTAATTCGTTTTATAATTGAATATGGTATATTATTTATTTATGGAATATTATTTATGTATAAACTTAGATAGAAATAAATAAACATTACCGTAAACTACGAGCCTCTCTGGAAACGCTGGTTTCATCTTCCTTCAAAGTTTGAAGTTTTGTTTGTATTGTCTTCAGCTGTTCTTCTTGCATTGGTATGGTAGATGAGAGATCTTCCCGTAACCTGTTAAATATGCAATTATTCAATAAAAATAATATATTTTATTTGCATTAGTGACTTACCCTTTGCTTGGGTGTGTCTTTAGGTACGAATTACATTTTTTGAGCGGAACTCTAATTTTTTTTTTCTATAAGTAAAGTATCTTTAGTTACTCCCTCTACATCAGCTTTGTGCCAGTGATTGTCGGTCGACCAGCCGGTCGATCAGTCGGTCGATCAATACATATATCGATCAAACGAACAAACACACAAATAAACTCTGCCTCTTTATAATATTAATATAGATTTGTGTGGAAAAAAATAAACCGTCTAGGATCTTTCAACGAAATCCCTTTGGGATATAACAAAATAATGTATGGTGGAATTGTGTACCTTATATAGGTCTACAGAAAAGTCCGCGATAGCACATGTCTATCTCTTAAGGATAACAAACTATATCCATTTCAATTTAAAACGTAATTAGGGACGAACCCAAGCGAAGCAAGGGTGAGCCGCTAGTTCTTTAATAAATATGACAAAAATATCAAAATGGACTCACGATTTCTTCTCTTCCAAATCTTTCTTCGCCTTTTCATAATCTTCTTTTAATTTTTCATATTTCTGCATCTCTTTTTGCTCAGTGCTCAAATATATTTTTAATTCTGATTCAGTCAACTTATAGTCTTTGTTGGCTTCGTCCACTATCTTTTTCAAGTCTATCAATTTTGATTGTAACTTGTCTTTTTGCTCTTGAAGACCTTGAGTTTTGGACCTATATTAGCAAAAGATAGTTAAAATAAATCTGTCAAGTATAAATCGGATTATTTTAAATGCATGTATTTTTTTATAGCAATTCTTTATTTACATCAAAAAAAACTTATTAAGCTTGAAAACACTTTAAAATAAATAAAAAATACACCATCCGCGTGAAATGATATTTTCGATGATCTCTAAATTGCTTGTATTCCATCACACCTGCTTATGTTACAGATAATTATTTTTCTGTTTTTTAATCTGTTTGTACTGTCATGTATTCGTTAAAATTCTCTAGCTAAGTTCGTATAAATTTATATAAAGGTAAATATGTACTAAATGAACAAACAAACATACACACGTAATATATATAAATAGATAAGAAAGAAAAATTTTAAATGTAATATAAAATACTAATAAAATAACGATACAAACTACCTTACTCCAGCCATAACAGTTTCTAATTCCTTTTCAGCCTTCTCTTTATTCTCATTGTGTTTCACTAAAAGTTTCTCACAATCTTCAATTTCACGTTTATTTTTATCTGGTATCTGTTAAATAAAAACATAAAAAAAACATACAGTCGAATTGAGAACCTCCTCCTCTTTGAAGTCGGTTGAAAAGAAAATACATTATAATTTGATTAAAGACTTTTTCAAATATATTTCATCCATTATAACTAGTTATCACACCAATCCCGTCACTCTTTTCGTTGTGCAAGGACAAACCAACAAACACGTGAAAGTCACATCTATACAGATAAATAAAATTGAAGTGTCTGTTTGTAATGTCAAAATAACAGCTTTTTACTAATGCATATGGAATTATATATGGTATTTATAAGAAAACACAATTTTTAAAATATTTGTCTGTCTGTCAGTTTGTTCCTATTAATCTCAGAAACGACTGGTCCGATTTTGACGAGACTTTCACTGGCAGGTAGTTGATGTTATAAGGAGTAAGTAACTACTTTTATTTCAGTAAACGAATTAGGGTTCCACTCAAAAAAACTAAAACGTACCTAGGGTCGAACCCGAGCGAAGCGAGGGTGAGTCGCTACTTTATAATATTAATATATGTAGTATGGTTACATAAATATTGAATTTATTAAAAATAATGAAATAATAAATGCTATCTAAATGAAAATAAACATATAAGTTTTTAGTATATACTTACCAACTCTAAGTCAATCAATTTTCCCTTCTCTTGTTCCAACAATTGTTCTAGATTCTTCTTTTTCTTGTTAGCTTGTGAGGAATCAGCTACAACTGTGACCATTTTCTTTTTCGTACTTTGTAATTTCTCAGCCACATCATTCTTTTTCTTTTGAAGGTCATCATATTTTCTGTTTGGATGAATGAATTAATAAATATGTTGGGACATTAACACACAGCACCATCTAGTTCCATGGTAAGCTATGAGGCTTGTGTTATGGATACCAAATACTTGATACACTACACATATATAACTTTAAATACATACATATTATAAATATAAACACCCATGACTAGAGTACAAGCATTTGTGCTCATCACACAAATGAATGCCCCCCGCGAGACTCGAACCTGCGACCGCTGGCACAACAAGTAGGGTCAATACAAACTGAGCCAAATGTGTCGTCAAATAATGAAATCTATTTATGTTACAGTAATAATGTATATTTTTGTTTCATGTAATTGTTAATTTTTTTTTCAATGTATTAGGTTATATTTTTTTATATTTACGCGAATATTTGACATTTTAAATAAAAATATCTTTTCGGTTTTTTTTCGCCTATTTATTACGATTTTTGGTTCGCGACGTTTCAAATGCTTTACAGCAATCATGGTCACGGGAGAGACTAAGGTTTTAGACGTCTCAAAGGTCAATAGTATATATAGTAGCAATTTTTTTTTAACTAATTGAAATATACAAATAAAAAGTTTTTTTTTAATTAATATTTAATTTTAGAAAAATATTTTAATTTGCAGAAAATTACATAATTTAAAATAAACCTAGACAAGAAAATTATAAAAAAACCTAATAAATTTCCTTATTGTAAATATAAAAATACAAATTTAAATACTTACTGTGTTCCATTTTTTAGTTCAGTCGTTTTTGTTTGTAATTCCTCTTTAATATTTCCCAACTTTTCATCAATTTTCGCTAAAGTTTCCTTCAGCTCCTCCATTTCTTTATTTTTGGCTTCAATTATTTTATTAGTTTCATGTCTGTATAAAATATTTAGATGTAAATAAAAAAAATATATTTTTATGACACAAATAAGAAAAGAGAAGTGTTTTAAACTAAAACAAACAGTGTTAATTCAAAAATATTTTTAGACAGAACCCTATATCCTTTTCTATACTAATATTATAAAAAGGTAAAGTTTGTGAGTTTGTGAGGTTGTAGGGGGTAATCTCTGGATCTACTGAACCGATTTAGATGAAATTTGGTAAGAAGACAGTGTGAGACCCTGGAAAGGACATAGGATACTTTTTAACCCGGAAATCATCCCTTAAGGGGGTGAAAATGGGGATGAAAGTTCTTATTGTAGAATTAACTTTTTTTAACATTGAGAGATATGTACAATCAAATAGATTAAAATTAATGAGTTTAGGTGTAACCTTAAATTTTATTTGCACTAGTGACATACCCTCGCTATGCTCGATATGTTTTAATTTTTTTGAGCAGCACCCAACTCTTTTTCTAAAATGAAGTAAGAACAGACAGACAAAAAGTTTAAAAATTGTGTCTCATGTAAGTACCGTAAAGTGATAAAAAATATAAATAATATTTCAAACAAATTTATTTACTTACATATATTTTTGCAAGAGCATATTTCTAGTTCTCAAAGCGGTGTTCGTTAAGTTCATCAGTTCCACAGCTTCTCTCATTGGCACTTCCAGTTTTTGCTTCTCTTGTTCAACCAAACGCACTCTATTCAACTTCTCTTTGCGCATTTCTGTATATTCCTCAACTCTCACTGATAATTGTTCAATTGGTTCCTTTTACAAAATTTAAATAAGTTTAATAATTTACTACCGTAATATAGTAAGTTTTTGGAGCTCGAACGAGAGTAAAATTTCAAGGCCGAGTGATGAGAAATCGTCACGAAAAACGAACTGTAAAGTAACTGTTCTTATTGTCTGACAAATCCTATATCTTTAAACGAGCAATTCTTGTTTATATGTATATATAAATATATATATATATATAATTTGAATCTCGGAAACGGCTTTATTCAAGTTTTTAGTTTAAAAAAAAAAGAAAATTGCACTTTAGGTCAAAAACTACGAGCGAAGCTCGATAGCCCAGGTACTGATATTATATGTATATGATATTCTTTCCATTGCTATCTTCAAAGATTACTATTTTACTAATTTGTTTTCAAATTTGTAAAATCTTTATAAGATATTGGTTTTAACGTTTAGTATGGAATAGATAGAAAAGTACATAATATAAATAATAACCAATGAAGTTTCACTTCTAACATGTGTACTCTGTACACACACTATTTTTTTTTAATTGTGACATTGTAGAAAAACTTAATGAATGAAAAATTACATGTATATTTCAATAAAATCTTGGGGAATTCAATAAAAATAATAAAATCTCAGACTTGGTATACTATAGACAATTCAAAACTACTTGTGGTAGATAAAGGCACACACATTCACCAATTCCAGGATGTTATTTTGGCTTGACCTGGGACTTGAACCCAGTACTTAACATAATTCTAATATAAAATTCATAGTATATTTAATCTATGGTTAATATAATAGCATATGTATATTAAGATTACTTTATATCTTGAAGTTCCAATAATATCTTCCAAATATTCAAGCATGCCAGACTCGTGTTCATTTTGACCTTTAGGCTTCATCATAGCTATTTGTTCTACTTCACCCTGAAAAAAAAATTACAACCATGTATTCAGCACTTTTCTAATGTACCACTGCTGGGCATTTCAATGGGAGGGTATTCAGGCCATAACGTTGGCCAAGTGCTGGTTGGCCGACTGCACATGTCTTTCGAAAACTTGCTAGGTTCTCTCAGAGATGCAGGTTTCCTCACAATGTTTTCCTTCACCATAGTCCGTAAGATAAGTGGTAATCATGTTAAGAATGATTTACTTACACATGAAAATATCAGAGGACCCAGGACTTCAACCCACTTCACTTGGTTTTCCAAGTAACCTTGCACTACTACTGTATACTGTACCTACCACTGACTATAGTTATAACCATATGAAAAAGTAGTTACTAAAAATTACTATTTTATAATTAAATTTAATTTATTTATATAAAACCAAAATGATTATTACCTGTAAGATCAAAAATCTATTGTGATCTAAATCAATGCCATGTGATCTCAACATTTTTGCTACTTCTTTAAATTGAACTCTTCTCCCATTAAGTGTGTAATGAGATGAATTATCCTTGAATGCTGTTCTCGATACTACTATTTCACTATTTGGGACAACTGTAAAATCTTCACCTTCCTACAAAGATTAATAATTTTAACAACAATCATAAAATTAATATAAATTAGTGATTATTTGCAAATTTTAATTATTAGTACATATTTGTATTATTTCAGAATAAATAACTTAGGTTTAGATTAGCTTAGCACGAATTTAGCTTAGAACTATAATGATAAAGAAATATATAAAATTAAAATTAATAGTATTGTATAAGATCTTTATCAGAAATCTGTAAGATATACCCATTATTCAATATAATATGTATATAATTATTGAATGATTATATTTAATATTATACATAAAAAATCATATAATTGTTTTTTTTAAATGATAATAAATATGAAATTTTATATTACAGACTTAAATTACTTTTATATTGTAAAATATGAAATAAAATTAAAATGAAAACCAATAACATACCCCATCAATAATCTGGCAAAAATGTACTTCAACAGCAGCACTAGTTATATTTGGAAATTTGCTTGAAGAATGAATGAGAACAGAGATTTTCTTAGATCTAATTTTTGTTGCTCTGTAGCCAAATACAAAAAGCATAGAATCTATTACATTGCTTTTACCACTTCCATTAGGACCAATAATTGCTGTAAAACTCTAAAACAACACAAATTATTTATTAATAAACACTAAACTTTACCTTAGAACAAAGAACAAATCGCACATTTGTTGACTATAAATAATTTTTAGACACTTAGATTTTAGAACTTTAGAAATTTTAAACATTTTATATATTAGACACAAAATTCTCTTTACAATTAGCTAGCTTAGCCAAGATTTTGTTTTAGATTATATATTATAAATTAATTTACCTTGTGAAATGGACCTAACGTTTGCACTCCAGCATAACTCTTAAAATTTTCATTTACAATATGTGTTATGATTAACCTTGGCCCTGTTGTATCAAATGTAAGAGCTGGTTTCGGGGCTGGTGGTATATAAATGTCACCGATACGAACTCCACCTTCTTCATCATCAGAAATATGATCTATTTCTCCATTTTCATGATTCTCACTGTTATGACCATTTGAGGTACCGGGGTTTTCGTCAACTTCCATTGGCTCTTCTTCCCCTCTTTTCTTTTTAGTTTTTTGCATTTTTAAACATAAATCAACCTATAAAATCACAACTTATCTGTCTAAGATAATGAAAAGTTTGGTAAAGAATTACAAATTAAGTTTGAATAACAAACAATCGTTACGAAAACGCGGCTTTAACAAAGTTTGACATCTATACATATTTTGACATTTATTATAAGTAAAGCATTCGTCCAAAAAATATATAATAAAACATTAACATAATGTTATTTTTAAAAAACATCTAGAACCGTGTAGTATAAAAATGTTATTAATTAATAATCTCACTATTGTTAGTAAATTTCTGAGTAATATGTATGGCTAAAGTTGTTATCATATCTATATTTTATTAATATATAAAAGCTAAACTATTACTTTATTTAACTTTTTGTTTAAATTGTGTACTTTTTCTATTTTCAATCATGTAGCTATAATAGATTTGGCTTGTTAATATTTTAATTGTAAGGTGTGGGATTAAACATTATTAAACGATTTCTGTCAATGTCATACGTCAAAGAAGATGGCGAATCGGACAGTAAAGGACGCGAAATCCATTCGCGGTACAAATCCGCAATATTTAATAGAAAAAATAATAAGATCACGCATTTACGATTGCAAATATTGGAAAGAAGAATGTTTTGCTTTAACAGCCGAATTGCTTGTAGACAAAGCCATGGAGTTAAGATACATAGGAGGCGTGCATGGTGGCTTCATTTATCCAACTCCATTTCTATGTTTAGTATTAAAAATGTTACAGATACAACCTGAAAAAGATATTGTTGTTGAATTTATAAAAAATGAAGAGTTCAAGTATGTGCGTGCTTTAGGTGCGTTTTATATGCGATTAACTGGTTCATCACTAGATTGTTATAAATATTTAGAACCTCTGTATAATGATAATAGAAAGCTGCGGCGGCAAAATCGTGAAGGGCAGTTTGAAATAGTGCACATGGATGAGTATATTGATGAATTACTACGTGAAGAGCGTTTATGTGATGTTATTTTGCCAAGAATTCAAAAAAGGCACATATTGGAAGAAAACAATGAATTAGAACCCAAAGTATCTGCTCTTGATGATGATATGGATGAAGATATGCCCTCTGAAGAAGAAAATGTTGACACCGAGACCAAAGAGAACAAGCGAGAGAAAGATAATACTGTTAGGAGGGACAGAGACAGAAGAAGAGAGAGGTAAGTTATTTAACTTATTTTGGATAACCTTACATTTTATGAATTAATAGAATGGAGGTTAATGATACTAAGAATAAATAACAATCCTCATATTATGATGTATTAGTCTGCCTTCCTTATATGATTTTATGAATAATTTCAGTGAAAATATATTTGTGAAGTGACCTTATTAGTATTTTAATAAAATAAAAGGCTAGACTTTTATGAATCATTTAAATTAAATATCTGGACCCATTTTTCAATATTGTACATTTGCCTTTCTTCTTCTTTCTATATTCTTGAACTATATAATAATATATTGTATCAATTTTTCACCACACACATTTAATCATAGTATAATAAGTGTGCTGAATATTTGCATCCACAGTTGTCTCTATGAAAAAAAGTCTTATCTCTCTATATAGTATTTGTTATATTGGTGAATTTCATTAATTCTATATTAATTGTATATTATGTAAAAGTGAATACTATATTTTTGTAATAATTATTATCTTAATCATAAAGTAATTCCAATGAAGATTATAAAAAAAAATATTTCACCTTTATTTAAATCACATACATATTCCTTAATGTCTTCCTTGTATGTGTGCATGTATATTTTTAATACTCCTTCATGGTAATGGCTGGATGGATTTGGATGAAATTTACAACACAGATGTGATCTATGACCTGGAGTAGCACGTAAGCTCATCTATACTATATTAGGTCATTAAGCATATTAATTTATTTAGTTTGTTAGGCTAATTTTGTTATTATATAATAATTAGTAATTAAATATTATTAAATTTAGATCTCGAGACCGTGAACGACGTGAAAAAGAACGCAAGCGCGATCGCTCCCGAAGTAGAGAGCGGGAAAGACGTCGGGAGAGAGAAAGAGAGCGTGAGAGGGAGCGAGACAGAGAACGCATTCGTGAGCGCGAGAGAGACAGAGAAAAGGAAAGACGAGAAAGACATGAAGCGGACAGACGAAGGGATAGAGGACGTTATTAGAATAATAAAAGATCATTTGCTAATTATTCTTTTTTATTTCATGCATTAGGATAATCAAAAAAAATTTCTTTGTTTTCTGTGCTGAATTATAAATAAAAAAAATTAGTAAAGGGATATTTATATAGATGAAAAATGAAATTTTCAACCATTTGAAAACATTATGCATAAATAAAACTATTTCTTTTTTTGCTGCTGATAAAACTATAAAATAATCTTTACTGCTCAGAAAATCTGTACATGTATAAAAAAAATCAATTCAATTATACACACATATTTAAATTCTTTTTTATTATATTTTAAATTCTTTAAGGCAGTGGTAGCCCAGTGGTAAGCGCTTACTTTGCCATCTGTGAATATGCTTTACAAACCTAAAGGCTGATTTTTCAATGACCAAAACGTATATTGGATTTAAGAGCACATTTTTCATTATACATCTTTATGGGATTTTAACTTTAATTTTACATAATCGATAAAATATATCAATACAGAGAATATAATGCCATCTATTGACATTTTCTTTGAGCTATTTTCATCAACACACAACAAAAATGGTTGTCAAAAAGTCTTCAATCCAAATCTTAACTAAAAAAACCATACTTTATACATATCCCATACCCAATAAAATATACAGAAAAAAAGGGCCAATCAAAGAAAAGACAATAAAATAATGAAGCCTTTATTATTACAAAATCTACTTGAGTCGTTGCAACAGCGTAGTATTTAGGAGGTTGGCGTCCTTGAGTGTCTGTGTGTGGTCTGTGAGCTCTGTGCTGGGGAAGGTGGTCAGGAGGGCGAAGCTCTGCAGCTGGTAGGCGGGCTCCGCGCGAGACACGTACTGCATGAGGTCGGCCACCGTGTGTGTGTGGTTGAAACGCCCGGTCAGACGGCTGCCGTCGGCCAAACGGAACTGGTGTGCAAAATTAAAATTATTTATTTTAAACCGAATTACATTAATAGTACAAATTTGACTGTTGAGAACCTCCTATTAAAGTTAAATAGCTGCGGCTATATAATAATGTCTTTTGCTGCGGTAACTTCGATCAACAATACTACTAGATAACATGTCACATACAAAATAAAAGCTAAATTCTGTCCGAGAGAATATGCACTTATACAGCTTCATTTGTATACTAACGAACCAAGACAAAGTCTTATAACAGTTTTATTTTCAACCTAATGAACACCGTAAGACCTTGTAATAAAGTCAAAAATCTTCAAATTATCATCATACACTTACGATCATTTCGTAGGTTTTAAAATCTTATTGTAAATTCTACCTTATACCAAAAAAAATAAAGCACTTTTTCCCGCTGTTGCTTTGTGAGCTAAATCGTTGTTTTGTTTCTATTTGCTCCTTTGAATTGGCGCGTATATTGGCCGACCTGGGCCAACATTCGTAGCGGATGTAAAATTGTTCAAAATTACGTATTTACATTATATCGCAGGTTAAAACTTAAAATGTTGACTTTTGCCTAATATTCGGCTATTCGGCCAGAAAGCCCACGGAATATTCGGTATTCGGCGTATGACCGAATATACTATACTTTAACTGCCTCGGTGGTGTAGTGGCTAGCATGTACGGTTGCACACCCGGAGGTCCTGGGTTCGAGTCCCGGGTCGGGCCAAGTTTAGTTATTGAGTCTTCCTGTATAGTAAGTCTCAGTAACAGCCCGGAGTTGGGAAGTTGGCGGTGTTTCACCCCCGTGCCTCGGAGAGCACGTAAAGCCGTCGGTCCTGCGCCTTAACTCTCACCGGTAGTGTCGAGTGGTCGTCCCACCGGAGTATGAGAGTGATAGGAATAGAGAGTGCACGTTGTGTCTGCGCGTACACTTGAGCACTATAATATCTCCTGCGCAGTTGGCTAATCTCATTGAGATTGGCCGCCGTGGCCGGAATCGGCTAGGAGAACATCATCATCATCATACTATACTTTTCAAGTCTAGTATAGATTTCTCAGAGATGAGATATTTTCCCGCAGTAAAAAGTATCCTTAATGTTGAACACCTTTACCTGCCGTTGCACTTGATGAATCACTATTTTTTTAACGCGAATGGACTATCTTTCGCATAGTTCGTCCAAATGAGCGCTCCTCCCACCTAGGTCGTTCGCGAAGTACCCAATACTAGTTGTAAGCATGGTACCTGCACGGTGGTGGCGGGCGCGGCGTCGTCGAGGCGCACGGCGCGCTGCGCGGCGCGCGCGTTGGCGTCGCGGTCCGCGCCCGCCGCCGCCGCCGCCGGCGCGCCCACCGTCGCCGGCGTCGGGCTGCACACAGGCACATATACACATACATACATACATATAGGATCCGGGGATACTAATAAAACCTTTTACAACACTAGTAACTATTTCTGTACCTGAGAAGCATAACACTGTAACTCCGTTTCTACGAGTTTGTGTTTTTACAGTATACTATTGTATGTCTTTTTCTATTATGGCATAACACTGTATGTAGCAAAATTAGCTATGTAAGTATAATAATCTAGTATTGAAGGTAGGCCCGTGCCCAGCGGTGGGACGTTAAATATGGTCAAATACATACATACATACAAGTGAAACAATAGTCTGACTAATATATACTATATATATAATAGACTGACATGGCCCGTAAAATATCAAGCACAAGAGCACTAGTGGAAAGGCGACATAAATTTTCATGCTAAACCTTATTTGTGTTAATAGCCTTATTCTAGCATATACAGCCTCAGATCCGGAAGTCCTGGATTCGAGTCCCAGATCGGGCCAAGTGTAATTGTTATTAATCATGTAGACTCACACCACTCCACTCAACTACTCCAGTCATGGGTGTTTATATTTATAATATGTATTTATTTAAAATTATATATGTGTAGTATCAACTAACTGGTATCCATAACACAAGCCTCGTAATTACCGTGGAACTAGATGGCTGTATAGTGATGGCTAGATGCTGTGTTAATGTCCTAACATATTTATTTGTTATTTAACAAACCCCATAACCCCCCAGCCCATACCTGCCCAGCATGTGACCCTTGCCGGAGAAGGCCTGGTGCGAGGGAGCCCGAGGACACTCCTCATGACGCCGGTCCTCCAAGCTCAGACGGACTTCACCACTAGACCCTGACAGTTCTGATGGGATCTCACTGAAAACATTATTATACACTTGTATAGTAAACTAGCGACTCATCCTCGCTCCGCTCGGGTTCGTCCCTACTTACGTTTTAACGTTTAGTATAGATTTCTCAGAAATGAGATATTTTTCCGCAATAAAAAGTACCTCTATATCCGTTGATTTGAGTTGATCCGGATAACCAGCTATCACCATACCAAATTTCATCAAAATCCCTCCAGTGGTTTTTCCGTGATGCGGTAACAGACACGACATACAAAAATTCTAAAAACTATAGATTCAGTCTATGTATCAATAATAATGTCTATTTCAAAAAAGAAAGCAAAAAATATTTCATGTACAGATTCGGCTTAGTTAGAATTTTATTATATGTATAGATATATAAATAAGAAAAGCAGAAGCAGTAAAATAAAGTATAGTATACGGGCAGATCACATTATTAGATATAGGGATGTAGCCCAGTCGTATTAGCTCAAAAAAGGGGCAAACATTGCAACAAATTTTAACGGCAATTTTCCTTCGGAATTCATTGTCTTTGGTCACTGGAAGTCTAAATTTAGATTTTCGGGGAACCAGACCGTCATTTTGAATTTAAGGATTGATTTTTGTTTATTGAATAACTCGTTTATTTTTAATTTACCACAAAAAATAGTCATTACAAAAGTCTCATACAATTTTTTTCCTAGGATCTATATTTTTTGACGTATACCCGAAAAGAGGGGGTGAATTTTTGTTTATTGAACAACTTATTACTTTATTTTCAATTTTACACGAAAATTGTAATAAACAAAGTTGTTTAACACCTCCAGGTAAATTTCTAAGAAATTAATTAAAATTCTAAGAAATCTATTATTAACTGACACGCCGGCGTGTCCGCGGTCGCAGAGAGAGAGAGTAACTATAAATACCGTTTAACCTCCTAAAATTAATCATTTCCCTCAACCGGGAATCAAACCTACCCTCTCCGAATGCAGCTGAGGAAGTCTGCATTGCTGGGGTCCGTGTACTGCCGGAGCGGACCACCGTCCACTGTGAACCCTTCCCTGTATAACTGGAGGCGAACTAAACGGTGTTGATTACTATCCTGAAAAAAAAAACACAATTTATTAAGGTTTTCTTTAACATGCTTCATATGTAAATGGAAAAAGTTTAAAGTTGGAAAGTGAGCATTGAAAATTCCTTGAAATACTTCTGACTGAACAGCTCACAACTTAGTCCAACTTGGGACTCGAACCCACGAACTCTTGAATTGGAACGGCACATTACGGTTATGGCTAGTCATTATGGTGTTTCCACACAGCAGTTAAAAAATATTAGATAACATTAAATAACATTTTTTAACATGAAAACTTTTTTTTTAACACTCAGTAACATGTCAACTATTGTTAGATGTTTTCAAAGCTTCCACATTGATAATTGATAAAACATGTTGTAGAATATTATACATATAATCATTCTGCAAGCCCCGCTGTCTTCTGCTGTGTGTGTGTGTGTTTGTGTGTAATATTTTCTAACAAACGTTACAGATTGTTATATTTAGCTTCAAATTGTTTTGTTCTAACATATTTTGTTATACAAAGTTCTTTTTTGCTATAAAATGTTCAATAACAAATATTTACTAACATTTTTTAACTCCTGTGTGGAAGGACCTTTAGACCAATGACCATCCAAGCGACAAACCAACTTTTTGTATAAGCCACAATAACAATGACCACGAGGAAGTATAAGATAGAAATAAAAATAATTTTTACCTGTTGTGCTTTCCCCTCTGCCACTGGTTCATGGTCGTCAGCCGTTTGACCTGTCAGTGATGATAAACAATTATTATCTAGTAGCAGAACCCGAGGCTTCGCTAGCGCTAAAACTACAAAACAATCTCTAAAAGGGTAGTTTCATACAAATTTTCACTCCCTGTTTTATCCCCTTATAGGATGAATTTCGAAAAAGCTACAACACGTATTTATTTAATTTTATCTCTTCAAGCATTAATACCAAGTTTCAAGTAATTCTGATCATAAATATTTTTTTGGATTGTATTATAACGTGTTTTCCCGTGGGGATTAATTACATAATCTCCCGCGGTAAAAAGTAGCCCATGTCTTCAACTCTTCAGCCCACCAACTTCATCTCCACACAAAAAATCACGCCAATCCGTCACTCCGTTTTGACGTGAAAGAAGGATAAACAAACCAAAGAAAAACACTTTCACATTTATACTATTAGTGTGGATACAGATAAATAAAATTGAAGTGTCTGTTTGTAATGTCAAAATAACAGCGTTTTACTAAATGCATATGAAATTATTTATATATGATATTTATAAGAAAAACACATTTTATTTTTATTTTTGTCTGTCTGTTTGTTCCGGATAATTTTTGAAACGGCTGGACTGATTTTGACGGGACTTTCACTGGAAGATAGCTGATATTATAGGGAGTAACATGGCTACTTTTATTTTCGAAAAAGAATTAGGGGTCCGCTATAAAAATTAAAAACGTACCTAGGGACGAATCCGAGCGAAGCGAGGGTGAGTCGATAGTTTTGTATCAATGATTTTAATGTTATTCATTAATATATACATTTTAATCACACTCATATTATATATATTCAGCTCTTTTTAACGTCCTACTTCTGGGCAAGGGCTTCCTTCAAGACAAGGGGTATCAGGCCATAGTCCACCATGCTGGCCAAGTGCGGGTTGGTGGGTTTCACAAGTCTTTCGAACTTGCTAGGTTTTCTCAGACATGTAGGATTCCTCAAGATGTTTTCCTTCACCGTAAGAAAAGTGGTAATCATGTTGAAAATGATTCGCACATGTAAATATTAAGAGGTGCCAGACTCGGGATTTGAACCCGCTTCACTCGGTTTCCCAAGCGAGCTTATTACCACTGGTCTATATCACTGCCTATATATTTAACTGCTACTAGTATTTAATTAAGTGAATATTATACCTAATCTGTAACCAACCCCACTGAAGACTCCGCCTCGGCCTCGGCTGGTGGAAGCTGGCCCATCTTCAAACACTACGGCACCACGCCTGAAATAAATTCATTTATTTTACAAAATCACCAGCCAATTTATTAAATTAAGATTAAAGTATAGAACCTAACCCTATACCAAAGTTGGATTTATACTATTAACTAATTAATGACTTACGCTCGTTTCGCTCGGGTGCGCCCCTAGTTAAAAGACTAAAAAGACTAAAAACTAAAAGTAGCCTAAATTATTCCCTATATATATATATATATATATATATATATATATATATATATATATATATATTCCCATAGCTGACACGCAGATTGATTAAATTTAGTTCGAGCTTTCAGATCCACAGGGTTTCCTGTACTTCTCAGATTTTTATATTTACGTATAAATAACTTCTCAAAAATAAAAAATATATATAGCAGTAACTTCTCTTTTATTTTGCATTCATTATTTTTGTGTGACATCAACTTTTGGAACTCGACCACAGGGACTGGTGACAAATACGTCATACGTGTACGTGTACGGAAAAGTTCGTAGACCCGTATATCAAGCCACTAGCCAGCCAGCCAAATATTATATTTGCAAACAATCAATTGGCATACCTGGGTGGATCTATACAGTATAATCACAGTCAGTGTACACGATGATACATTTGGCTCAGTTTGTAGTGACCCTACTTATTGTACTAGCGGTCGCGGGTTCGAGTCCCACTGGGGGCATTCACTTGTGTGATGAGCATGTTGGTACTCCAGTCACGGGTGTTTATGTTTATAATATGTATGTGTTTAAAGTTATATATATGTAGTGTATCAACTTTCTGTAGGCTTACTCTTGAAACTGATTCGAATTTGATTTTGTCTTTGATTCGAGTGTTATCAGCGCCGTTAACTGTATCCGGCTGCTGTGAATCTATGGTCAAATTCTTTTTAATGTAAAAAAAAAAACGATTTATAATTCGCTTTTTTCGTTTAAGATGATTCCCTAGTGTTTTAATAACAATTTTTAAGATTATATTTAAATTATTTTAGACATTATAAAAATGACAGGCGAGCCGTAATAATAAAAAAATGTCATTTATGTAGATAAATATCCACACTCGATTCAAAAAAGTACCTTTTTCGCTATCGTTAAATTTGACATTAGATTGATCCTAAAACTCGATACCAAAGCTGTCCGATTGAGTGGGGAGTAAGACTTTTCGATCGTAACGGCCGTTCTCGATCGTAGTTAGTTCCAATTTGAACCACTGCCCGATCGTGCGCTGATGTCAATTTCAAGGGTACGAATCCTAACAAAATCGAGTCAATTTCGATTGATTCAGGAACTCGAAGCTGTCGGGAGTAAGCCGGCTGGTATCCATAGCACAAACCTCGAAGCTTACCATGAAACTAGATGGTGCCGTGTATGATAACCAACATATTTATTAATTTATAATTTTAATTTATATAAAGTTTCAAAAATTACAACAACTTACTCTCTGACACTCTTAAACATTGCTGACACTATGTCTTGTCCCTTACCAGGCCCAATTATTTGTTGGCCTGATCTTTCAGAACCCCCCGCATAGAAGGCTTGACCTGAAGCAATTAAAACAGTTTATATGGTTAGTGAATGAAATAAAACATTTGAATTGACGCTATATAAAATGAATTCTGTTAGTTGTATATAAATCTATCAAGAAAAGTCTAACTACATAGCTTTTAAAGGAGAATGCAACCCTTTGTATGGCAGGTGGCATCATTTTTAGGGTTCCGTGCCCAAAGGGTAAAACGGGACCCTATTACTAAGACTCCGCTGTCCATCCGTTTGTCTGTCTGTCTGTCACAAGGCTGTATCTCATGAACCGTGATAGTTGGACAGTTGAAATTTTCACAGAATTGATGTATTTCTGTTGCTGCTATAACAACAAATACTAATAATTATAAATTAAAAATTTTATAAACCCCCTACGCAAATTAATTGTGATTTAACGATTACACCGGCACTCGTGAAGCACTTATTCGAGTAATCATACCCCAAAATGCCTTACATCATTTTAGAAAAAAGTTGATACTCTTACACTGCTGGACGGATATTAACCAAACGTAGCTAAGAACCACCGCAAGGAAACTGGCTTTCAAATGAAAAAAAACTGCATCGAAATAGGTCCATCCGTTTAAGAGCTAAGATGCCACAGACAGACAGACATCGACGTCAAACTTATAACACCCCTCTTTTTGTGTCGGCGGTTAAAAAACAGAAAAAATAAATATTTAATTAACTATATAACAGACATAATTTTTTTGAAAACTATTTTAAAAGTGAATTAAAGAAGAAACGAACTCGCTAAACCGTAACAAACAAGAGATATTGTGGTTGTAAACCAGCTTACATAGAGAAGTCAGGTCTTTGCTAGATCATATACTAATGACACTGCTATATTTTGTATGAGGATCCAGGTAACAAGTGAATCCATTAGATTTTTATGACTTATAATTGGATATTCTTCAAAATCGAAATATATCTTTTGGGTGTTTATTTTCGTTCTTTCAACAACAATGTAACATATTATATGACAACATGTTGAAGGAAGAAATTAAGCTCCAAGATATTACTTATTCGTGCGTAAATGCATTTCCCAACGTTAAAAAAAAGGGTTATTACATAGTGATCTAGTTATGATATAATTTTTGTTACTGGAGAAAGTAAAAAAATTGATGCGAAAAAGTTGCATACCCCTTTTTGTATCCACAATCATAAAAATAATAAAAATAAAGTATGTCTTTATTTATATTATAACTTTTTATGAAGCATTTACTCTTTCACAGACCTGTCCTATCTAAATCTTTTAATCTTGCTATTTCTTCCTTTAATTTTGCATTTTCTTTGGTCAATCTATCAATTTCTATTTGCAATTTTTTAACTTCTGCATTAGTTTTCTTTAACTCATTACTATTAGATTTATTTACAGAATTGCTATCTTTATTTTTAATGGAACAAGATGATGGGAAGAAAGAGGAGTCTTGATTTATTCTTTCCTCTTCACAATTTTTCCATCCAAACTTTGTTACTAAAGTACAGGACAGTTGTTAACTACTAGCATTTAAATAAAAAAAAAACAGAGTAAAAGTATGTTTGAATAAGTGACATACAATATAAATTAAATATTAATATTTAATAGAAAAGCTATTAATTATGTTTCATTAAAACTTACCTTCTTCTTCATCGCTGGAACTTTCTTGCTGTAATGATTCTAAAGTAGCAAATTGTGGATTTCCTTTCTTCTTGTCTTTCTTTTGTGGTCGGTTTGGAGATCTTGGTGGGGAATCCATATCACTATCTGACATAGGTGGTACATTAGCCGCAGCTGGGGCTTCTTCTACATTACCACCATGTTCATAAAAGCTAGATAGAGCTACCTACAAAGTTATTATAATTTGTATTCAATAATTAGTATTTTATTAAATTAGTAGTAAACACCTATGTGGAATGTATATTTAATATTCAATAATAATATTAAGATGAGGGGTAGTTTTAAATGATAAATGAAATAAAAAACAAAAATTGTTACAAATTGAAAGAGAATGTATGAAAATGACTATAACAATGAACTGGATATTTAATATCAAAGTTTAAAGGAATTGTTTTGTAAACTTAATAAAATAACTAAATAACTATATAACATAACTAATTTTTTACTTTTCTTACTTTTAACTATTGTTTACAGTGAACGCTATGTACACTTGTTATAGATATACATATCAGGTACTTAATTTATATTACTAATAAGATTATCAGAAATGTTTTATATGTGTATTGTTAGTGTGCTTTATAAATAAAATAAAAATAGATACTAACTTCTAGTTGCCAATTAGAAGATTCTAAAAAGAATCTACTGCGGTTTTCATCGGCACCGGTAACATCGCAAAACTGACGCAGTGTATCTTCTTTATTCACAGACATATTAATAATTTATTGAAATACTTATATGAATATCAGTAGCTTAACAAATCTTTCTTTTCAATCACTGTATTGTCAATTTAATCTTTAAAATTATCAAATCCGAGCAAGTCATCGGAGTTTTCTTTCATTCATAAATTAATGTAGATTATAAAATAAAGAGAACTATGAAATATTGAACATACAGATAATTTAACTATGTAACTATACTTTTAATAGGGAAAATTTTTGCCTTTTTCCCCCAAGATGTCATGATCATTATGATCCTCAGTATATTATTTAAAAAAAAATTATTATTTAAAATTTAATTAATTAAGATGACAAATTATAAAATGCCATAATGCAAAAAAAATGGATACCATTTGTTCCCAAAAGACAAAAACTGAAGAAATTGTGGGCTATAAAGCAATGAGACGACCAAAATTGGCGAAATTACAATCTTTATATTTAAGGCCATGTGGACATCATTTGAAAGAAAGTGATTATAAAACTTTTAAATCGTCTACAGGTGAATATTAATTTTATTTTTTGATCTTTTTTACATATTAATGAGTTTCATACAAACTTTCATCCCCCATGTTTTCCCCTTATGGGATTGACTTTCAAAAAATGATAAAAGCCGTATTTATTAAATTGTATTGAAGAGCATTAACACCGAGTTTCAAATCATTCTAATCATAAATAATTATTTCCATTTTCATCATTCATATAAGCTTTATCACCCCTTTTTATCCCTTTAAGTGATTAAAGCTAAATAGCACTTTCTGTGCATTTCACATTAAAAATGACAGAGTTTCATACAATCTTTAATCCCCTATTTTACCCACATAGGGAATGAGTTAAATATTTGAATTTATTGAGGACGGAGATTTTCCTTTTTTGTAAAGGTTAATTGTATTTTTTGAACTAATTTGAACTTCCATGGCAGTTTTTCTTAATGTGATATAAAGTTGTAAAAATAAAAAAAATAATTTTAATTCCTAAATAATGTACCTGTACTAGATAAGAATTTCAGTACTATAACTAAGAAAACTGTCAATTTGGTCCTGGCCGTACATATTACATTGACATGACTGAATTTTATGAAATGACAACTGAGGTCTGATTTCTGACAGTGACAATTTAATTGACATTTGACAATGCAGTAATGCAGTCCATTTAAAAAACTAATTCTTATACTTTTCTGGTTCTTTTGCTTAATTCAGATCAATAAAAGTTCATTTTAAAATCACGTTCATGTTTAAGTACTTTAAGTTTTGATACTTAATAAATGAAGACATCTCGGAAACCGGTTGGTAGCATAATGAGGAAATACTATCAGCTGATCCTTATCATAGTGTGTTTTTTGAGTATAATTACTCTTCTCATTTATCGTCATGAATATTATCGTCTTCGATATGTGTTAGAAGTACTCAATTTCTTCGGCAAACCAGGCTTATCAGAGATCGAGTTCTGCGGCCCTGGCTTCAACGCTACTATGTTATCGGAAATACTTCGCAACACATCTATGGAAGTTCGAGAAACCCCGCCCTTATTTCAAGAAATTGATGAAAACTTTTATTCATATTCATCTTTCTTAAGATCTTATAATAAGTATAATAAACTTTCACCTACTAATGCACATATTATAGATACAATAGTCATAGGAAAAGCTTCAGCGACACCTAACTATCGTTGCAATATATGGCTTGAAAATAATCCAAAGCCTAAAGCTGGCAGATTCAATTATAAAATAGTATCAGAACCAGTCAACAACTACCGTTTGTATATATTTCAGTGTTCACTTATGAAAAACTTTGGTAAACCAAAAGGAATAAGTTATTATGTCAATGATTATAACATAAATCCGATGCATGCACCAATTAATAAAGTCATTCAAGTTAACACTAAAAGGAAGCCAAGGGAGAATAGTAATATAAAATTTGTTAATAATATTGAACCTGCAATATGTGTTATACCTAACCATGTTCCTATAGTTTCTAGAGATGAATTTATTGAATTTCTAGTATTTCATCACATTATTGGGGTCAACTACTTTACGATTTATGATAGTATGATATCAGAAGATGTTACAAGAAGACTGAATTTGTTTCCATCTGATATAACTCAGTGGGAAATCCAATTTTACCCATTGAATTATCCGTTTCTATTCTCAAAATCATATAAAATTGTTAGGAATGCAATAGAACTAGATTGTTTGTTCAGACATTTTAGATATGATAAAGAAGAATCTAATAAAGTAAGCCATGTAGCTGTGCTTTCATGGGATGAGTTTTTAGTGCCAAGAGTCCATAATAACTTCAAAGCAGTTTTGGATGACTTTGATCCAACAAGATCTCTTCGAACCTATGTTGTGGAACCTTTAGTGTTTTGTTTGAATCAAAATGATGATGATAATGCAGAATTAGGATACCCAGATATAATGAAGAAGACTCATTATTATACAATGCCTCAAGAGAAAGTTGCAATACAAATCAGAAATTTTGACACTATGTCAGCATTTGAAGATCTTTTTAATTTAACCTCTAATTCTAAAAATATTCCTTTGGAACAACTAGGAGCACACAAATATAGTATATGTAAGGATCCAAAGAAATTTAATCCAGATGGTTATAATGAAACAGAAATGCAGGTTTTTCAACATAAGTTTGAAGGAGCCATGTTGAAATTTGGACAAAACTTAGTAAGTAATAAAATATACAGATTATACAGGTCTGGCCAAATTTGGGAGAAAAATTATAATGATAATGTCAGAGACATACTCTAAAGTTGATTATACATTTTTATTGAGTGTTGAATGATTGATATATTCATATCAAAGAATATTTAAACATGGGTGCAGTATTATTGTGAGAATTTACAATTTAGGTGTAATTTGTTATAGGACTTGTTAGTTACAATTTCTTTTTTACATCTTAGTCAGTTTATTATTTCTATAATGGAGCTGAAATTGTTTAAAAATCTACAAAAACTCTTATATTACCTTTTTTATGTAGGTAGGTTATAGTAACATCATCTACATTGTAGCCTTAAAAATAATGTAAACTAAATACTCTTCACTATGAATATTGTTTTATATACCAGCACTTCATATAAAGGCTTGAAGTTAATGGCAAGTTTCACCATAGGAGCTTTGAATTATAGAATATTATACCGTTGTGCATATTATATGTTACAATAAATGTATTATCATGTAGACATTTGTTATTTATATTTTGTTAGATTTAGACATTGGGAAATGTGCACTTTTCATAAGCTGAGCTTTAAAAAAACATGACTTGGTTGTAATTTTTGTAATATGACTTTAATTGTGTTTGCACTAGTGTTTCAATACACATTCAAATACAGATTCAAAGTAAATTGTGATAATCTGACATCACAATAAATTAAATCTCCTTCTTCTTGCACGGCTTTTTTGGAAGAAGAAATTACATCTTTAATGAATAGATATTTTTTTATCTGTCTCATTAGACTAGTACTGTAAAGTGTGCAAATTTTTTTAAATTAATTAATTTATTTTATTATTTATTGTAATTTAGCGCATATAATTCAATGTCTAATCACATTTTCTTAGGGACCGTTTGTTATAAACAAAGAAAGTTGTGCCTTGTTTATATGAGGGTAGATAGCTAGATACTCATTCCTGTTCTTGATACTTGCTTTTATAAAAACAATGAGACTGCTTGATCTATAGATACCATATGGGTTTTATCAAAATAGTGAATGGCAAGTACCTTATTGTATGTAGTTATTAATGAAGTATTGAACACTAATACTAGAAGGTGGAAGTCTTACCAATTATATTAGAAAATAATTTGGCCTTAATAATATTTATCTTACATAACTTAGGTGAGATAAAGAGGGTTGCTTCTCTCTATAGATCATAAATAAGATATGAAGTTAAAAAATATTTTAAAACACAATTTGGAATTTTTTTGATTATAAATAAATGTACCTACTATAATTTCATTAGTATAAGTTATAAATAATGGAAACCGGCGTCGTCTTAGTTTAACATATTTGAATACTATTTTTTATTTAAGTACACAATATGTTTTGTCCATGCCAAAGTAAAAAAAAAACATAAAGAAAACAAATCCTCCTCCTTTATTGAAGTCGGATAACAATTAACATTAACTTTTATTGCATAGGTATATACTTGCCATACGCTCTTGTGATAGAACGAAGTTATAGAATTAAGTAATACAAGTATAATTAATCAGTAATTTACTGCAATATTGTTGTATAGCAAATTAACAAAGTAGGTATGCAAATTGTTTTAACACATTTTCACATTTTTCATGTTAAGTGCTAATAAATAATGTTTTTATTAAATGTAAATTGTTTTATTTATGTCAATTTATTGCCTGTGCGCGATGTAATTGTGCCTTTTTTTAGTAATATTTTTTATAATTATAAAAGACTTGGTCCTTGATTTTGGATATTAGACGACACGTTTGGCTCAGTTTGTTGTAACCCTACTTGCTGCGCCAGCGGTCGCGGGTTCGAGTCCCGCTGGGGGCATTCGTTTGTGTGATGAGCACGAATGTTTGTACTCCAGTCATGGGTGTATATATTTATAATATGTATGTATTTAAAGTTATGTATGTATAATGTATAAACTATCTGGTATCCATAACACAAGCCTCGAAGCTTACCATGGAACTAGATGGCGCTGTGTGTTAATGTCCTAACATATTTTTTTTTTATTATTTTTTAATTTAACTGATACATTGTGGAAGACACGCTACGCATGCCAAAGATTTTTCTACTTTCTAATGAATGGCGCAAGACACGCTAGTTGTGCATAGTTAATTCGTTAAAATTTCGTTGTATTATTTGTTTGAACATGTACATATAGTAATTCTGTTAGTATTGATTTCATAGAAATATTACATTTTGCAATTACCGTATTATTGAAGCTTTTACGAAAATGTGTGGTAAAGTAAAGATGGGTAGGTACTGGTAAAGTATTCTCATATAAGAAAAAAGTGCATTCATACCAGTAAGTATCAAGTTTCGGTCGAATCACACACCAGCAACGTTTCTTGTATAAAAATAATTTACCAGACCGGGAACGGAGTATGATTCGCACTATATTATAGTAAACCCTAAATCGGCAACTTATTATTTAATTAAAATATGTTTAAAAAGCATTTTGTTTATTTAAATAATCGTAATTTATCTTCGTAAGTAACTACACAAGTTAAAAATTATATACAAAACAAATAAATACAATCAAAATATCGCAATAATTTAAAATTACAATAATGTCAGTCTTCAGATTTGTGCCATTCTATAGTGACGTTTGAAATTAGTACGCAGAGACGGCTAACTACAACACTCGGCTCGTGGGAAGTTACAGGCGCAAGGGTCGGTCGTTATACATTCTGCTGGACAAATGCAGTCGCAATCTAAAAAGATAATATTATATTAATAAAACTACCTCAGTGGTCTACTGGTTAGCATGTATGGTTGTAGACTCTGACGTCCCAGGTTCGAGTCCCGAGTCGGGCCTAGTTTAGTTGTCTTTCTGTTAATTGTTAAGGTATTCTCAGTAGCAGCCCAGAGATGGGAAGTTGGCTTTTGGCGGTGTTTTACCCCCGAGCCTCCGAGAGCACAAAAAGCGTTCGGTCCTGCGCTAACTTTCACCGGTCGGTCGAAGTATCGTCCCATCGGACTGAGTGAAAAGGAATAGAGTGCACCTTGTGTTTGGGCGAACACACTTGTGCACTATAAAATCACATAATAATGCAGTTGGCTAGTCTCCGTGAGATTGGTCGCCGTGGCCGAAATCAGCAAGGAGGACATCTGTTAATAACTTTTATTTAGTCCTTAAACCAAATATCGCGACTACTATTATAAATGCGAAAGTTTGTGTGTATGTTCTTTAAGTTGAAACGGCTGATTTGGGATGCAATTCAGTACACAGATAGACTGACCTGTGGTAAAACGTACCTACGTAAGGTATACGTATATGAGATGTTTTTTAACACCTCCAGGTAAATTTCTAAGAAATTAATTAAATTTCTAAGAAATCTATTGTTAACTGTAACGCCGGTGTGTCCGCGTTGAGTATTTATTTTTATAAATTTTTTGGTATGGCTCGAAGAAGACACTCAGATTATTTATCATTGCACAATCATCCCAGATTTGGTCTCTAAAAATATGTTCAATACAGATTTAGTGTGTGGGTGTGGAGGACTGAAAACTGCAATGGCGCTCTTTATTAATAAAATTAAAGTTTGAGTTAATTTAAAATACTAACGTTTGCAATCCCCGTACGAACAAGGGTCCATATACTCAGTACAGTCTTCACCGGGCGGCAAGAATGACGATCGATAGACAGTTGTGCCTTCCAACTGAAAAAAAAAATTGTTTATTGAAAACTAATAAATATTTAAAAGCCTAGACAAACGTCCATAAAATCCAGCTGAAAATTTTCGTACAATATAAGTCTATACATATAATAAAATTGTAACTAAGCCGAATCTGTACATTAAATGTTTTTTGGAAAATCTTATTGAAATAAACATAATTATCGATACAGAGGCCGAATCTTAATACCGAATAGAATTTTGTCTGTCTGTCTGTTACCACATCCCAGAAAAACCACTAAAGAGATTTTGATGAACATTTTAAATAAAACTATCTTTTCGGATTTTGTCGCGGATTTATTTGGATTTTTGTTTCCCGACGTTTCGAATGCTTTACAGCATCCATGGTCACGGGAGAGACTGAGGTGTTACATGTCTTGAATGTATAGTTGTTACAGACAGCCTACCCACAATTAACAAAATGAAAATTGCACCAATTACATTACAATATTTTTTAACTTTAAACATTTTTATAATTTTTATTATAATTGAATATGGAAAATTATTTATTTAATTTTGCTATTATTTTTATAATTATTACAATTTTAAAATATTAATTAGTAATCTATATTTAGTGTTGCCATTATTATATTTATAACCATAAAGAAAAATATAAAATGTAGTATTAATTATTAAAGCCATATAATTGTTCTATGTGTAATTTAAAAAGTTAAAATTAATTAAGGATAATAATTTTAATTTAGTTTGCTATTATTTAAAAACAACTTACTAAGCAACACTATTAATATATACTTTTACAAATGAAAAATGAAAAATATTAGTCTGATAAGCTGTCATTATGATCTACACAGTATGAACTTACTACATCTGCCTGTCTGTTATGTTTATATTTATTATTTGATTTTATTATATTAATAACAGGATCCCATGACGATGGTAGTACCCAGCCATCTTCCCTATTGAAATTAGGATGTTTTTTAATTTCTATGGCTTCTCGAATCATTGGCCCTAGAATGATTCGAGAAGCCATAAAAATTAAAAAACATCCTAATTTCAATAGGGAAGATGGCTGGGTACTACCATCGTCATGGGATCCTGTTATTAATATAATAAAATCAAATAATAAATATAAACATAACAGACAGGCAGATGTAGTAAGTTCATACTGTGTAGATCATAATGACAGCTTATCAGACTAATATTTTTCATTTGTAAAAGTATATATTAATAGTGTTGCTTAGTAAGTTGTTTTTAAATAATAGCAAACTAAATTAAAATTATTATCCTTAATTAATTTTAACTTTTTAAATTACACATAGAACGATTATATGGCTTTAATAATTAATACTACATTTTATATTTTTCTTTATGGTTATAAATATAATAATGGCAACACTAAATATAGATTACTAATTAATATTTTAAAATTGTAATAATTATAAAAATAATAGCAAAATTAAATAAATAATTTTCCATATTCAATTATAATTAAAATTATAAAAATGTTTAAAGTTAAAAAATATTGTAATGTAATTGGTGCAATTTTCATTTTGTTAATTGTAGGTAGGCTGTCTGTAACAACTATACATTCAAGACATGTAACACCTCAGTCTCTCCCGTGACCATGGATGCTGTAAAGCATTCGAAACGTCGGGAAACAAAAATCCAAATAAATCCGCGACAAAATCCGAAAAAATAGTTTTATTTAAAATGTCAAATATTCGCGTAAATCTAAGAAAGTATTAGATTTTGATGAAATTTGGTATGGTGATAGCTGGTTATCCGAGTCAAGCTATAGGATACTTTTTACTGCGGGAAAATGTCTCATTTTTGAGAAAAAAATACAAAAACTGCATTGTAAGAGTATGCTAATATGTAAAACCTAACAATTTGGTTTTTGGTCATTAGAACGCGGGCGGAGCCGCGGGCATTGATAGTATATAATATACTTTTTAGAGATATCTGTGGTGCATTTTATTTCATTCTAATTAATCTAAACATTTTATCTTTTGTACAAAATTTTTATTTTTGGGTACGTTAAAGGCGCAAAGTAATAAAGGTGCAATTAAATAAATATTCACGTAAGAACTACTTATACTAAAGTAAGAAAAAAAAGCATACCCTTTGGCATGGTTTCTGGTACTGTCCCTTGCAGGCCCAGGGCGGTCGCTGCGGCGCGGGGGCGCACACCGGTTGGTAGGACATCTTTTGTATTGTGTCGCTTTCCATTTTGGCTAATTAATAAAATAAAACTTATAGGTATATTATTATATAGAACAGGATTTTATTTAATAAGGTTCGTCGCTATGTATACAAAAAATACTAAAATCGCGCTAAAAAATGGGAGGTGGAGGTGGGTGGTTGAAAAATACTTTACGACCTATTCTCATACCTACCAAATATAAAAAAAAAACAATAAAATCGGTCAAGCCGTTTCGGAGGAGTGCGACAAACACCGTGACACGAGATTTTTATATATTTGATAATAAGAACAATAACATCATAAACGTATAGAACCTCCTGCCTTCCTACCCGAGGCCTGCATAGCAGACCTAAGATCAAGCAATATCCCCTTGTAATATATTTTTCCTGTATTATTAGGTATATCGTTCAAAAATTATAAAAAATATAAATAAAAGTTACTTTAAGATAATAATGAGCAGGTGCTACTTACCAGCAGGTTTCTCATAACATCGATTCGGTGCATACGATTCTGGCAGTGCGATTCGACCGGGATTCAAATAAGACATTCTGTTTACGGTGCGATCTAAGAAAAAATATATTTAATTATTTACGAGTCTATATAAGTATGAATAATTAGCGGTTGACTCTCGCTTCGCTCGGGTTCGTCACTAGTGAAATATAAAAACAAATCTATCCCACAGGAACCGTACGTTTTTCCGGGATAAAAGTAGCCTATATGCTTTTCCAGAATATAATCTATCTCCATGCCAATTTTTTTCCAGATCCGTTCAGTCGTTCTGGCATGATTGAGTGACAAACTCTCCATCTAAACTTTCGGATTTACACAGTAGTAGTATTATATGATTTGATAGTAGTATAATATAAATTAATTGTTTAAACACGCTTTTATTAAGTAAAAATATATATAAAATTTGAAATACATACTATGTAATGTACAGGACTGTACCAGTTAAATAATTTCAATTAAGTTAATGTATTTTTAACCCTCGACGCAAAAAGAGGGGTGTTCTCTCAAACGGATGGACCGATTTCGATGCGGTTTTTTTTCATTTGAAAGCCAGTTTCCTTGCAATGGTTCTTAGCTATGTTTGGTTAATATCGGTCCAGCAGTGTAAGAGTATCGGCTCTTTTCCAAAATGATGTAAGGCATTTTGGTGTATTATTACTCGATTAAGTGCTTCACGCGTGCCAGTGTAATCGTTAAATGACAATTAATTTGCGTAGGAGCTTTTTTACATTTTTAATTTTTAATTATCCATACAAGATATTGTGCAGATATACTCGTACTTACTAATAGATACACGTGAAGTACAAAACTCTTATTAACAGTATGTTGCAGATAAAAATACCTAAGTATATGTAATGAAGGCAAGTTGTTGTTGTAGCAACTACTTATAACTCCTATAAGTAGGTATTTATAGGAATTTATTAGTGGTACCTTATATAAAACATGTATATACCTAATATAAATCTATGCTAATATTATAAAGAGGAAAGATTTGATTTTTTGTTTGTTTATTTGTACTGAATAGGCTCCGAAACTACTAAACCGATTTAGATGAAATTTGGTAAGAAAATAGTTTCAAACCCTTGTAAGGACTAGGATAGTTTTTATCCCGGAAATTATCCCTTAAGAGGGTTAAAATGGGGATAAAAATTTTAAATATGGTATTTTTTTTAAAAAGGGGAAAATAGTGTAGTGTGACGCAAACATTTTGGCCACAAGAATTTTATGTATGTGTGTATTGAGATATTTTGTGTAACTTAAGAATCGATAAAATAAATTTATGAAACTTCAGATCGCACGGCATTCTAAAATACAGTGAACATGTCATGCTAACACACACACCAAGGAAAAATATAATAATACATCAATATGCTAGATAGGAACCTAATGGTATTCTGTCTGTCAGTGAGCGAGATGCACACTGCACAATCACAGATTTCCTATTCGTTCCTTAAAAATGCGCAATTTATTCTCCGGTGTTGCAAGTGTGCAATTTTCGTATTCTTTGATTTCGACTTACCATTCGACTTGCTTATCATGACGAGTTTAACTAAAAAAAAATAAGTTTTTTTTAAATACACTTACTTTCAAAAGGTTGTTCCACACAGTGATATTTTTGTGGTGGCTTACAAGACTCTCGAACAGCAGTTGGTTTGGGTACATAGTCGTGTCTCTGCGTAGTGATGTTCTGCATCGGCCCTTGTCCCCACATGTCGTGATGGCAGGGACGGATCGGTTGCGTTACACACACAGGGTTGGGTAGGAATGAGAGCTGTAATACATTTGTATTTGAGAATATTGGCAAAAGTGACGTTTTAAATTGTTACAATTGTTAATTGTTAATCTGTTGTTGCATTACTGCGTGTCATTGCCTAAGTCAAATCATTACTTAGGTACATACATTTTTGTTCATAACATTAATCTATACTTACATATAATAAAATTGTAATTCGGCTGAATCTGTACATTAAATATTTTTTGGGAAATCTTATTGAAATAGATATTATTATCGATACAGAGGCCGAATCTATAGTTTTTAGAATTTTTGTCTGTCTGTCTCTCTATCTGTCTGTCTGTGACCGCATCACAGAAAAACCACTGGAGGGATTATGATGAAATGATGCAAAATTGGTATGATGATAGCTGGTTATCCGAGTCAACATATAGGATACTTTTTACCGCGGGAAAATATGTACCTCATTTCTGAGAAAAAAATGCAAAAAGTGAATTGTAAGATTAGACTAATATATAAAACCTAAGAATTTGCTTTTTGGTCATCTGAACGCGGGCGGAGCCGCGGGCAATGCTAGTATGGACTATAAAAGTGACATATGTATATATGTAAATGATAATAACATTTATATACACATATTCCAAATTTAGGTTGCGCTTAAATATTACTAAAGATATATTTTTATTATTTACCCTTTTCACGGTACAGTATAAGTTTATTTTAACTTAAATTGTTAGTACAAAACTCCCTATTTGATGTTTCGGGGAATAACCTCGTCCAGTGCCCACTATCTGCTCAATGTTCTATTTTGCATACTACATCATCATTGTGTCATTGTTGTTCAGAATATGAATCGTAATATTTTATTCGTTTCTTATTTGAACATCGGCCATTATTATTATAATAGTACAATGTACTGTAATATTTAATGTAAGTACTGTATTGTTATGGCGGAATTCAAGTTAACAAAACAGTTAGCAATAAAGAAAAAGATTATATTATAGAAACCAAAGGTTTTAAAAACGAAATCTAAAATTAAATTATTTTATTTATTATCTAATTAAATTAACCTATGATAAACTTATGAATTACAACTAACTAGCAGAACCCGCAGCTTCGCTCGCGCTTAAACTAACAAATTTCTAAAAAAAGATAGTTTCATACAAACTTTCATCCTCTATTTTACCGTCTTAAAGGATGAATTTCGAAAAATGCTAAAACACGTATTTATTTAATTTTATAGAAGAGCATTAATACCAAGTTTCAAGAAATTCTGATCATAAATATTTTTCAGGATTGTATTATAACGTGTTTTCCCGCGATAATTAGACAATCTCCCGCGGTAAAAAGTATCCTACGTTACTCTTCAGACCTCCAACTATCTCCACATAAAAAATACGCAAATCCCTCACTCGGTTTCCACGTCAAAGAAGGACAAACAAACAAACACACTTTCACATTTATAATATTAGTATGGATATACTCGTAACTTATGAAAATAATCATCTCAGTTTTAAAGCTAGCTTCCAGGCTACACGGAAATTTATAATACGACGTCTCTATGTACTCTACACTTTAAAATTTAATTTGATGCATACAAAATATGAACTCACATCAACTAGCTTGCAAGTTTACTATAGAAATAATAAAGTTAACTAAAATTACTTTTTAAATATAATATAAAAAATTAACCTTTTGTACAGTATCACCTTCCATTTGCGCGGTGGACGGTACGAGATTCGATAAAGGTTTTATTGGTTGGGGTATTGGAGCGGACGCTGGTAAATAGCTGTGTAAAACAAATTAAGAATACAAAAATAAAATAACTATAATTTAATAATTATTAACGCAAATAATATAATAAAATAGCAGACCCGGCCACATGTTGCTGTGGCATACTTATAATTTTTTTTTCTTTAGTTTAGGGGTAGAATTTGTAGTTTAGGATAGACTTTTCTCAGGTTTTCTCTCCGGATATGAAAACCGTAAATTTTGCAATAAAAAAAGGAAATAATCGGTATAAAATTATCCTATGGTTTGAGTTGGAATAAATTACAAATAAAATAATATACTATAAGATCGTATAAGTATTTTTGGAGTTCATCGCGGACCAACATCTATTTTAATATTATTTCATTATGTACATACTATTATAATATTATCAACTACTTTGTTGTAACTTGTTTCCAATCGACATTTTAAGCAATCGAGATGAAATTAATGCATGTCATGAATCAATTTTATTGGATGGAAAAGATATAGGTACATATGTTAGGCTTCCCATCGCGCTTTTGAAGAAAAAATTAAAAAGTCCCCAAAAAAAATGGGGATACTCAACAAAATCTGCGAGAATGTTTTTTATATTATATTTATATGAACTCCAAGATCACAAAGTTTATTGGAATTTGGACAGAACAACAGTCACGTCAGCTACATTATTTATAATTTATTTATAAATACAAGTTTTGTAATTAAAACTTCGTAGTAAGTACACCTTAATAAAACACAGTCACGATTATAAAATTTTGTTGGACACTTTTGAAATATTCATACTCGCTATTTATTATAAAAAAAATATATAAAAAAATATATTTTAAAAATACTTTTTCATTGCTGCTCATTATTTGCATTCAGATTTTAATACTTTGATAGTTCTATATTTTCTTCTGCTCCTTTACTGTGTAAAAATGTAATTACTACATAGTTTAAAACAAAGTCGCTTTCTCTGTCCCTATATCCCTCTGATGCTTAAATCTTTAAAACTACGCAACGGATTTTGATGCGGTTTTTTTAATAGATAGAATGATTCAAGAGGAAGGTTTTAATGTATAATTTGTTAAGTTTTTGTATACATTGGCTTAAATATAACGATATTTGTTGGAGGTGTCGGAAAAAATAAGACATCTGGAAGCTTTCAACGAAAACGCTGCCTAAACCCTTTGTGATATAACAAAATAATGTATGGTGGAATTGTGTATCTTATATATGTCTACAGAAAAGTCAGCGATGGCATATGTCTATCTCTTAACTTAAGGATAACGTACCATATCCATTTTAATTGTAAACGTACCTCACACCGTAATAAACTCAATAAACTTAAATATTTTCATTTATTACCTGTTCTTATATATAGTCTGAGTCTCAAATCTCTTTGAAGCTGTGACGGGATTGATGCAGCTGTCAGGAATTATTGCTCTCCTTCGACAGTCACTTTTTGAATCTAGGTAACTACCAGAAAAAAATGTAGATTAGTTTTAAATGTCTAATCGGACAACTTTTTATTATCAATGTATTTAGTTTGTGTGTATGTTTGTTACTCCTTCACGCTGAAAGAGCTGGACAATTTTGAATGAAATATAGTACACAGATATACTATCACCTTGAGTAATATATTATAGGTTTCTAAGTCGCCTATGGACGTATCCCAGAAGTTATGTCCTCCAGACCGGTTACGGCCAAGGCGACCAATCATTGAGGATGCGCAGGAGATATTATAGTGCACAAATGTACGCACAGACATACATACATAAATGCACTATCTATTTCTTTTTACTATCTAAGTCCGATAGGACGATACTTCGACACGACCGGTGAGAGTGAGGTGCAGGACCGACGGTTTTACTTGCTCTCCGAGGCACGGAGGTGAAATACCGCCAAGTTTCCCAACTCCAGTCTGTTACTGGACTGGACTTCCTTAATAGAAATACTCTAACTAAATTTGGCCCGACCCAGGACTCGAACCCAGGACATTTCCGGATCTGCAGCCACCCAAGAGTAGTGAGGGTATGTCACTTGTTCATAATAATATCAAAGTGAATAATATTAATAGCGGTAAATGTTAATTAAATACATTCCGCCTCCCCGCCCATTTATTGCCTATCCATCAAATCTAAGGCATTTTAAACGTTTAACTTCTATAATGTGGAGAGTAGCACATACATATTAAATTATTGTCGATAATTTTTTTTAACTTTAGTTTTATATGTCTCATAGTATTTGTTAACCAACAAATTCTATGTGATATACTTTTTTTATAAAATGAAAATAAAAAATACGATATTTTTAAAATACTAAATAATTATTTTAAAGACCTCATTGTGTAAGTTGTATTATCTTCTAATTTCTGACAGGGCTTCTGATATTGTCCTTTACATGCCCACGGCATTGGTTCTTTTGGTAGAATCTAAAAATAGTTATATATATGCATATTAAAATATCTACAAATTGTAACAATTTGAAAGGCAGTTTCTTTTCATTTTTATTAAAACCCAATTTCATTTATTAAAACTCGTCATTTATAGGTATTATATGTATTTATATAATAAAATTCTAACCGAGTCGAATCTGTACATTAAATATTCTCTGGAAAATCGTATTGAAATAGTCATTTTTATTGATACAAAGCTCCAATCTATAGTTTTAGAATTTTTGTCTGTCTGGGAACGTATCACGAGAAAACCACTGGACAGATTTTGATGAAATATGATATGATGATAGTTTGTTATCCTGGTCAACATACAGGATAGAGATGAACAGGACAGAGATGAGATATTTTCCCGCAGTAAAAATACTGCGGGAAAATATCTCATCTCTGAGAAATCTATGCTCTACCGTAAAAACGTACCTAGGGACACACGAGCGCAGTGAGGGTGTCGCTAGCTCATATATAAAAAACGCTGAAATAAGCCAATTTTACTTTTTAACAATTGCATTACATTTTTTTCTTACGGAGTTATACCCTTATACAATCAAAAATTTATTATTCATTTTCGATACGAGTTTAAACACAAACAGAAACATGTAAGAAATATTTAATATCGCCATTTTTCCTCTCGCCATAATGGCTTCTAAACATCTATTTACACACCCTCACATCTTATAAAATATTTATTATTTTTTGCGGTTACGTCGTGTATTTCGATTTAGATTACAGTAATGGAACACTGATTTGCCTTTAATATGTAAACGATTAGAAAGGAGGGCTCAAATTGTATGAAGATATACAACCTTCGCCTCGATATTGACATCTAATCAAACTTTTTCATAATTATTTTTTTTAATAATCTTATTTTATCAACCAATCTCCTTCGTATCTTCTCCATTCTACGTGACATTGTTTAAGCAATCTGTGCTCATCTGATACGCTTTGAAGCCATTAACAAGAAAATTGAATTTATATTTTTATGTGAGACGTGCATCAAACATACACACAGAAAGACAGTCAAAAATTAATTTATTTTTCATTTTATTCAATAGATTTTTTTGTTATATTGTTAAATTATTGTTTAATAAATGGCATAATATAATAACCACCAATATTGTCAAATATTATTAAATACACCACAATATATTTAAATCGAGATTTATATAACTTAAATTATATTAATTAAATAGTACCTGATTAGACATATAACTTAGTTTATGGGTAGTACTGCCGTCCATTTTAGCGGCGGGTCGTTCATAACAACGTTCTGGAGCGAAAGACTTTACGAGCTCGATCCTCTCGGGAGGCAAATAGGACAGCTTATTTACAGTGCGGTCTGGAACAGTACAAAACAGGTCTTGTTACCTTGATATATGAGGAATATTCCGCAAACGAAATTTTTAAGGTATATTTTTAATGACAAATCTACTATATCTGTTGTCTATACTGAATGTTTGTACTATGAAAGCTTGAAGAGTTCTTTTTTTTTGCTTAGTTTGCTTAAGTCCCCTAAAGTTTGGAATTATCGGTTAAATTGGAAAAAATTTGTTTGTACTCAGTAAATACTGAGTGTTAAAAGTAGAGCCATTATAAGTACATATGTTACTAAACTAAGAGAGCAGAGTCGCGGGTAGAACTTTTGATTAAAATGTAATAAAATCATTTAAATCGGCCAAATTTTTTAGAGATGCAACCAATAAAAAACATAAAAATAGAAATAAAAATTAATAAAGAAGATAATCATATTTTTAAAATCCAAAGAATAGTTTAATAAAAATAATAATTTTGGAAATTATTGATAAAGATAATCTTTTTTCTTTGAAGTTTTGAAAGAAATCTTATTTTTGAACGAACGAACAAAATTCCACGAACGTATTGATAGATATAATTTAAGGCAATTGTAGCGCGTTCGCTTGGAATCATTTCCAACCTGATTATAACTTGTCTTACTCTGAAGGAAAACATCGTGAGGAAATAAATCTGCATATCTGAGAGAACCTAGCAAGTTTTCGAAAGACATGTGAAGTCCGTCTACAGTGACTTGGCCAGCGTGGTAAACTATGACCTGATCCCCCCCTTGTATTGAAGGAAGACATTATGGCTAGCACTGGGACGTTAAAAAGGGCTGTATACATAAATATTATCGTAATAAAAGAGTTGGAACGCAAGCTTCCTTAATCTATTGGTGCAATCAATATGTATTTGTTTTATCGTAAATAGAACCCCACTAACAAACTAATATATATTAAAAACGCTATCAGATTCTCTCAGGTTTGCAATTTTAGTTCAGATACTCAGAATTTTGGATTTTCAGTTTATCATAGTTGCAAATTTTATACCATTTAAATTATATTAGATACATGTGAACTGTGAAAAAAGTGTAAATTTTGAACAGGCTATTCGTCTTACAGTTCTCATATGTAATATTTCAAAAAACTAGAGCAGCTTGTTTGTTGAGATGTCTAAAACACAATCTAAGTTTCGTTATTCTTGCAGTTCTGAACGCTCGACCGCAAAATAAGAAATATGCAAAGAATAATATTGTTTATGTATACTTACTTTCGACCTTTATATAAAATTAAAAAAAAAAGCTTTTTATATGTTTGTACTACAGAAGTTTTAAACTCAAGCTTAAAATAATGTTAAAAACACAATCCTCTTTCTGGCACAGTCGGAGATAAAAATAAGATTATTATATTTTTCTGTTATGTTGCTAAGGTAAACTGCGTATCTACTGCGCGTATTTTCATGTAATGACTATTACAAATAATTAAATAAAAACTTAAAGAAAAAGCGACTTCTAGGCACTAAAATAAAAATATAACTAAACGGGGGTTTTCATTTAGAATAGATACCTAATCAGATTTTTGGAGGAAATTTTTAGAGTTTTCCATATAATTGGTAATTTTAGAAAAAAACTACTTGCTTTTTTCTCAACTTTTTTTATGAATTGATAGATCTCAAAGAAATTGTGGAAAGGAAAACGTCTACTGGGTTTCATTACATAATCGACAAATATAGTGTATTACAAAAACAATTCTCTTGGATAAATACTGGTATTAAAAGTAATATACGCAATTATTTCCCAAATTATAGTGTGCAAAATCAAAGTTAATCAGTGCTTCTAACAAAGTTACTTAAAGAGTAATCTAGATACTTTCGAGTATCTCAATACTTACTTTCAAAAGGTTGTTCGTCACAGTGGAACTTCGCTGATGGCTTGCAACTTTCACGTAGAACACACGGTTTGGGTACATAGTCGTGTCTCTGCGTAGTGATGTTCTGCATCGGCCCTTGTCCCCACATGTCGTGATGGCAGGGACGGATCGGTTGCGTTACGCACACAGGGTTGGGTAGGAATGAGAGCTGTAATTAAAAAAAATGGAATAAATTAATTGAAGTCCCGAAGAGATAGCCTATATCCTTTTTTTTTGTTTTTGCTGGAGAAATCTATTATGGGACCCGGCCAGCCATCAGTGTTCAGGGGACTTGGAGACTCCCTATTCACTAAAATCCAAAGCGCAAACCATCTCCGCAGTGCAATGGGCCGTTGCAGGATCGTTTGTACACACTACAAAACTCCTTGGTAGCGTATATCCTAGATTAACACAATCTACTTTTTATCGACTTTTGTCGACTAATTTTATCGACGTATCTACCACAAATATACACACATTTTTTTATTAAGAATTATGCTAAATTACGTATAAAAATGCTTATTAAGGACGAGATGGAGATGAGTCGTAAATTCAAAACTGTGACTTATAAATTGGCTTGAAAAACTAAAGTCTCGTTTGATTAAAGTTGCTCCATTGCCGTTAATGGTCTTTGTGTGGAAGTTCAGCAACTTGAATTAAATTATAAATTTAAACCTTGCATAAGAAAGTTAACTAGTTACTTAAGTATCGCTTTGTATCTTTAAAAAGCATACTTAAACTAGTGTTTAAAATTTACATATATTAGACAAAGAGCACCTTTGACTAAAGTACGGTACCATAAAAGAAAAATTTTACGAAAGAAATTCGTTTCTCTCTTCAACTTCTATTAATAAGAACTTTTTTTGAAACAAAAAATATTCTTGTTATTAAGTTCGTGAAAAAAAAACATTACTAGAAAAAGAAAAAAAATTAACAATTTGAAAACATACTTTTGTTACTCTGTTTTATTTAAGCCCTGGTTTCGCTTTAACTCTATACAAAATTATCGAAGTAGTTACTTATCTATGGAAAATAATTTCACTAGATATTATAAGTTACATTTAACTGCCTCGGTGGTGTAGTGGCTAGCATGTACGGTTGCACACTCGGAGGTCCTGGGTTCGAGTCTCGGGTCGGGCCAAGTTTAGTTATTGAGTCTTTCTGTATATTAAGTCTCAGTAACAGCCCGGAGTTGGGAAGTTGGCGGTGTTTCACCCCCGTGCCTCGGAGAGCACGTAAAGCCGTCGGTTCTGCGCCTTAACTTTCACTGGTCGTGTCGAGTAATCGTCCCGCAGGAGTATGAGAGTGACAGGAATAGAGAATGCACGTTGTGTCTGCGCGTACACTTGTGCACTATAATATCTCCTGCGCAGTTGGCTCGTCTATGAGATTGGCCGCCGTGGCCGAAATCGGTCAGTAGAACATCATAATTTGCATTAAGATTAGTTGTAACATCCAAAAATTAAAATCGAAAGAACCAATCTCTCTTTATATAATACGAATGAACTCATCGAGGATGGATGTATGGATGTTTTGTTCACCCAAAAACTAATGAACGGATTTCGATGAAACTTTACTGTAATAAAGCTTATACGCCAAAGTAATACAATATGCTATTATTAACAAAGATACTGCACAGTCGATGCCGCAGAAAAATGCTAGTTAAAAATATTTAAAATAAGATTTTTAGGCTATTTCATTTTCTGTTGCAAAATAGATACAGACTAAAAACATATAGGTACTTATCTCTATCAAATACTAGCATTCTTTTTGTGTTATGTTTAAGCTGTAAGTTTTGATTCCCCAAAGGTTGGGTGAATAAAATTCAGTAATATTATAATACTAGCATTGCCCGCGGCTCCGCCCACGTTCAGATGACTAAAAACCAAATTCTTAGGTTTTACATATTAGTATACTCTTACATTACAGTTTTTGTATTTTTTTCTCAAAAATGAGATATTTCCTGCGGTAAAAAGTACTTTTCAAAAAATATTTAATGTACAGATTCGGCTTAGTTACAATTTTATTGTATGTATTATAGATTACGTTTACTGGCCAATCTCCTTGGTGTCTTCTACATTCTACGTGACATTGGCGAAGTAGTCTGTGCTCAACTGGCACGCTTTGAAGCCAATAACAAGAAAATTGAATTGAATTGAATTGAATAATATTGTTATTTATTATAAATTGCACTATCAACCCACATGTATTATTATTATTATAAATTCTAAAGCGTGTATGCATTCATTATTTATTGTGTACCCTCTATAGTAATTAATATAGATTTTTTATAGACCTGCGAGTGATATTACAATGGATATATATGCCCTATGTGTAGTACAAACATTTTTAGTTGTACCCATGATCATGAGATGTTAGTACATAGTGAAGGGCTGATAACAAATTAAACCATAATTTGAAGACATGTCTTTAAAGTAGGTACCATCAAACCTTTTGCACTGTACAAGATTCCATCGGTTCACAGCTCGGTACCAAACTCGGTGGCGGTTTCCTTGCTTCACCTCGTAAATTTTTACAGCCATCAACTGGTAAGTATGACAGTTTGTATGTAGTACATGATTCTACTGGAGCCGAAGGTTTCATGTAACATCGTCGGGGCGCATAGGAATCTGGTATTTTGGGCTGTTTATAGCACTGCAATAATACTTCATAGAATTAATTACTGAAAATACACTCCAAAATAATAAATGTCAGCAGTTCTGTCTATTACCATTAATGGTTAAAGAGCTCAACAGAATTTGCTGGAATTTGGAATAGAAAAATTGCATCATGGGGACAGACATTATTCTTTTACCACGCGAGCGGAGCATCCCTTTAATTTTTTGATTGCTTTACAAGGTTAGCTTAATTTATTTTTTTATCATTATCGTAACGGTTTAATATTTCTGCAATACTACTATTAAGGTGAGAAGGGAAATACGCACAGGTTTCACGATCGGTGGTTTCCCACAGCAGCAAGATTTGCATGGACATGGGTGTTCCTGCTTGCCATCCATGGGCTTCCCATCTTTCGGCCCGCTTTTTACTCCCGCTGTAGGCGCGCAGGGAGCGGCTGCTGGACATGGTATACACCTGGAGAATATGAATATTAGACAGTATTGTAGAGGTTTACTATTAGGATTCAAATGTCTAAAAAACGGTTTATCTGTGTAGGTTACGGGTTCAAACCCCTGATGAGTCAAACTACCTTACGCACATTTGTATATCAAATAGTAGTAAAGTAAGTAATTATGCCAATGTAGTTAAGGGATTCATATATTCAATTATATTGGCCGATATCATTAAGTAATGTAAATTTTGATATTACAAGTCTATTAAATCAATTTGGTTTAAAAAAATTTCCGAAAAAAAAATGGTACTAGTTTATTTATTTATATTGATTATGAATGATTTATTATATATTATTCGTACTAAGAAAAAAAAGGTTCATAGTTTACTTACTCTGGCATAATTTATTCCTAAAATATATATAAATCTTATAAAATAAAATAACACTGAAATAAAAAAAATACAAAATATATTAATCTAAAACTAAAAAGTTAAAGAACTGAAAATAATTTTACAAAAACATCTCTATCGAAAATATAGTTTCTAAAAACTGACAGTTATAGGGAATGCTCTTTTTTTTTGTTTTCAAATTCTAGATGGCTGGAATAAAATTAGGACGGCCATTATTTTAATATTTTTATAAGCTTGGCTGCACGATGGGTTTTTGCCGCGTGAGGTTCTAGGTACTGTGGAGTGCTTAAAAAACCTTTTCAAATTGCAGTATGAACTACATGAGAGTAGTTTTTGTAGGAGTTAACATATTAAGAAATGGAGAAGAAACATTTTATAGAATATTAACAGTTACAAATTGCATAATCACTGTATCATTATATCGTACAACAGCATTTCTTTCATTTGTACAGTATTAATTTCGGCATTAAATATTAAAAAAAAAACGTTTACATAGCTCTATTTTCTGGCAACACTGAAAAAAAATCGCATGTGAGTGCGACTCTATGAAGCTCTATAATGACGATACAATTTGTTGAGGAGTTTTTGATGCGTAAAAAAATAAGTAGTGATATTAAAATAAAATCAGTTGTTTTAAAATACGACAAGCGTGTGCGTGGTTTGAATTTTTGAAATACAAAAATATGCGAATAAAATTTTTTTATGGTGTCCGCTTTAGCAAGAGACATAAAATAAATTAAAAAATAATACAAAAAATGTGAAAATTTAAAATCTTATGTGTACGTACATAAAAACATAATACAATTGTAGTGTGATAGTTTCTTAAAGGCAAAACGTAATATTTGACCTAAGCAACAAGTCAAAATAGTAAGTTATAGCATTCATTGAGTTCATTTATAGTAATTGTTCGAACATTAAGATTAATAGGAGTAATAACTGACCATAGTACATACACGTACTCGTATGTGTTCGGAATGAAGTATTTAAGACTTAAGTACTATTGATTATATGCCATTTTGTAACCATTTATTTATTTAACGAGAACATTATTTAGAGATATTTTCTGACAGTAAAGAGTATCCTATATGTTGACCCAGATAACCAGCTATCATCATACCAAATTTCATCAAAATCTGTCCAGTGGTTTTCTCGTATGCGTTCCCAGACAGACAGACAGACGGACGGACAGACAGACAAAAATTCTAAGAACTATAGATTTGGCCTATGTATTGATAATAATGACTATTTCAATAAGATTTTCCATAAAATATTTGACGTACAGATTTGACTCAGAATTTTATTATATGTATAGATAGCTAATAGCTATAGTACCTATCGTAGAGTCAGTTAGATAACTGAGTTGCAGTTATTAACACTTACCTCTCGATTATCACGTTACAAATGTATAAACTTTATTCAATTAGACTTATTACAACTAGGTACTTTTGAATCGTCAATATAATGAAAGCGTCAGTGTAGCCAGTCCGTGAGGAAGCTACCACAGTTAAGGAAAGCAGTTCTGCTGAGAAGAACCCGCCGGTTCTCAACGGTTGCTCTTTTAAATATCGAGTTAATTCGAGGTTGAGGTTAATTCAATTTAATACAGAAAATATCTTTAAACACCAAACATCAAAATATATAGACATATACGAAAACAAAATATTAGGCAAAAAAAAAACATATACAATACGATCTACTAAATTACATACATTAAAGCGGCTGATTTTACACTTAGTTTTCTCGACTAAGAACTGAGAAGATTGAAGCAGAATGTGCAAAAGCAGACTTTTTGCTATCACTTAATGCAACAATTTTTAATATTATAATGAAGCACAAGAGTATTTAAATTCATTAAAATAAATAAATGTTCAGGATATTATTAATAGAATTTTTAAAAAATAAACTACAGTAGAATGTAAAAAATTACTATGACTATTGTACTGAAGGCAGTGGTAGCCCAGTGGTGACGTGCTTTCTTAGGAACTTAGTAAAGTGAGTTCAAGTCTCGTGTCTCGCACCTCTGATATTATATGTGTGATTTTTATAAATATGATTACACTTATCTTAAGACGTAGAAAAACATCGTTAGGAAACCTGCATGTCTGAGAGAACCTAACAAGTTTTCGAAAGACATGTCAAGTCCGCCAACCCGCACTTGGTCAGCGTGGTGGATTATGGCCTGACCCCCATTGTCTTGACAGGAGGCCCGTGCAGAATAGTGGGATGTTAATAAGAGCTGTATACAACACATACATAATACTACGTACATACATACATACACACATACATACGTACTAATCTATATATATAAAAGAAAGTCGTGTTAGTTACTTCGCTTATAACTCAAGAACGGCTGAACCGATTTAGCTGAAAATTGGCAGGGAGGTAGTTTAGAGCCAGGAGAAGGACATAGGATACTTTTTATCCCGTTCGACCGCGTTCCAATTTTTATGATATTTTAATTTTTGGATTTCTCTTAGTCCGGAATAGGTAAGTATTAAAACATATAATTAAAATGTGAGAAAGAAAGATTTTTTCTTTTTATATCTATTTAAAACGTACCTAGCGACGAACCCGAGCGAAGCGAGGGTGAGCCGCTAGTTAAAAATAAATACGTCTCTACTTTAGCATGAAAAGCTTTTTTTGTTAATACTCGTACTTAGTGCTGAAACTGTGAAAGGTGCTTCTTTAAAAAATTGTTTTACACAGTCATTATTTTTATGTGGCCAACAAATATTTTTAATCTTTTTAATTACTTTTTAATCTTTAATATGACATTTCGATAATAAATGTTTATCTAACAATAAAGTCGGTTAAGTGCGAGTCGAATTCGCACACGAAGGGTTCCATAACATCGTACATGTACTTTTTATTAGGGTTCCGTACCCAAACGGTGACAACGAAACCCTATTACTATGTCTCCGATATCCGTCCGTACATGTACGATAGTATGGAACCCTTCATGTGCGAATTCGACTCGCACTTGAATTTATTAATATGGCTTTCAACTCTCTACCTATTATGGTTCATGAGATACTGCCCTCTGACAGACGGACGGACGGACGGACAGCAGATTCTTAGTAACATGGTTCCATTGGCACCCTTTGGGTTCGGAACCCAAATAATAAAAACTATGACTTCAGCGCTTTGCCTCAATAAATGATTATACAATGTTTATAAGAGTTTGTTATGCCTTTTTATGCTATATTATTAATTTTCATATCAATGACGCTCGCTTTGAAATGGTAATGGTTATCAAATGATCTGAATTACATACGTATCTTGTTAAGTGTTAATTTTATTGATATTACTGATTTGTTATTTTTATCTCTTACGTTTATATTTATCTATAGGAAATGTATTAGTTACTTACCAAAATGTTTTTTTTGTTATATCTTTGAATTGCTTTAACAGAATGGTTATTCATAACATACCTAAGATTGTTTAGTTAAACACACAAATCTATAAATCTATACATATAATAAAATTGTAACTAAGCCGAATCTGTACATTAAATATTTTTTGGAAAATCTTATTGAAATAAATATTATTATCAACACAGAGACCGAATCTATCGTTTTTAGAATTTTTGTCTGTCTGTCTGTCTGTCTGTCTGTCTGTCTGTCTGTCTGTCTGTCTGTCTGTCTGTCTGTTACCGCATCACAGAAAACCCACCGGGGGGATTTTGATGAAATTTGGTATGGTGAGAGTTGGTTATCCAGGTCAACATACCTATAGGATACTTTTTACCGCGGGAGTAATCTAATATGTGAAACCTAAGAATTTGTTTTTTGGTCATCTGAACGCGGGCGGAGCCTCGGGAAATGCTAGTATGTCTTATGATGTTACAAAACTAATTAATATTAAATAAAAATTAATCGTCACCAGATTAACGTAAATTCAAAACAAATATTAGGTCCATTTTTTAAATAAATTAGGCAACAAAAATACCTGTATATTTATTTTTAGTGTATACCTTTTAATTTTTCGAGATTAAACGACTAATTGTTGATGAGGTTAAATGATTAAAATGAAAATATTTTTTTTCATGGTTTTACTTTTTGTTCGCAGTTTTTAATGTTTGAGAGCAAACAAGGTCACGTGAAAAGCCGCGAAAATCTCCAAATTATAAAGTTGTTAAATATATAAAAAAAATTGCGTACATCTAAGAAAATTTAATATTATTAATTTTAATTTTGCTAAGTGCTTAGAGTGGTTAGCAGTCAATGAGTCAATGGGCTTGATCAGTTCGTGCCTTATCGTTGATCGTTGTACACATCCCACAATACTAGTGTTTAATAGAAATAAATAATATAAATCAGTTTGAAATATTTACTGAGGACATTCTGCTAGCATCGCTTTAAGTAAATTGTAAGTATAAAATTGATAATTTATTATTTTATAATAAGTGTTAGTGTTTGAATATATAATATATGTAGATAAAATTAAACAAAATAGACCGTCGATACAAAATAGTTAAAGATATTAAAAGATAGCAGATAAAGTATTGCCCTCTATGCCCTTTAAAAAAGGTAGTTTCTCATGAGGTAATTAATTTAAGGGTTCAACTACGTTTTTGTTGTAACACAGTTTAAATAAATAGTTTTAAGTATTTTTGTGTGTATGTTTGATTAACGTGTAACGAAGATTTCAGGAACAGTTATTTTAATTTAGTAGAGGATTTAATTTGAATTAAAAACATTAGTAATTTCAATTCAATTGGTTACCAGATTCAAAGATACACGAATATACTAAACAAAGCACTTATGTTTTCTTAGATGTTAGATTATATGGAAATAGAGTCACTGCAGCAGTTAATTTTTACAAAGATATGCCAATGTCATTTTAAAATTAAACATATTAATATACTACTACAAAAAAATTATTTTTCTTATGAAAAATTATATTTTTGTTGTTAATTTTTTTTTGTTAACAAGCTGACATATAAATTATATACATGTACATAATAATTTATCAAGGGCATCTTAGCATGTACAATGTTATGTTTATGTATGAAGTAATCTGTGATGTCCTCATTCAAGGAATTCTAGATGCGGAATGCAATTTGTTTATTAATTTGCTTTGTTGTTCTCTTATCACTAGCAAACTAATAGGGGTTTCCTCGTGATACTAGCGACCGTCTTATGAAGGTCATCTAACATCTCGCTAATCTCTTCGTCCTATAGTAGCGGACCAAACTATCATAAATAAACTACAAGCGGTTCCGCAGTCAAAAACTAGTAATGTATTGAAGTATATAAGAATGTTGTTTTTAGGGCTGTTCCGTGGTGTTATCAATAATAATATTATAAATTTTAAAGTACCTTTCCACGCTTAAACCGCTGAACAGATTTCGATAAAATTTGTCACGGACATAGATTTGATACTGGGATCGGAGATGATTATGATCGGACAGGATACCGTTGATCAAGCTCCGCTTATTAGGTGCGAGAAGCCGCGGGCAAAAACTAGTTTTATACAATTTTGAAACGTGAGAATTAAAAAAAAATACATTGATTTATGACTGGATGTTATTATATTATATGTATACATATACATATTATGAGCTCGATGGCGAAAATTAGGCATTTTCCCTATATAATCCATGAAGGGATAGATTTTTGTAAAGAATACTAAAAATAAAGCTTCTCATATTAATTTGGGAAAAATATAACGAAAACCACTTCTTAATTTCTTCGCCTTTCCTATTGTATGGCACAAGCTCTCTTTCAAGCGAATATGATATTTTTCAATCTATCAATATCACTAATTTATTAATAATCAAATTAACATCTTTTGTTAATTTATACTTCATCTACACAGTCATTAAGAAAGCGATTAAAGTGACTTTGCATAGAGATAGATAGTTTAAAGAACAATGGTATGGTTTAAAATAAATTCAATACTTTACAAATAACACAAATATGAACTTATAGGCAGTGGTAGCCCAGTAATGCACTCGTTTGGAAAAGCAAGTTGTGGGTTCAAATCTCAGGCTTCGCACCTCTGGCCCTATTCGGGGGGCGGTGTACCATGTGGGTTGCTCCTGGTACTTCTCTGATAGCAGAGTGGACCTTGGAGCAGCCCCATGGTTGTGGTGGTCTGCTTCGGCAGACCTGCCGTCGGGGCGTCATAGTTGAATGCGTAAGCGATCCTGCGACGCCCCATTAAGACGGGGGAAGGTTTTGTTGGGTTTTAGTGGGTAGTACTGGCTGTATTACGCCGGTGAGTCCCACATGTCGTGCGTAAATGCATTTCCCAACGTTAAAAAAAAAGGCTTCGCACCTCTGATATTTTAAATTTTCATGTGTGATGTGCGAATCATTCTCAACATGATTACGACTTGTTAACGGTGAAGGAAAACATCGTGAGAAAACCTGCATGTCTGAGAGAACTTAGCAAGTTTTTGAAAGAGATATGAAATCTGACAACTCGTGCTTTGCCAGCGTGATGTGAAAATTCAACGCGAGAGGCTCGTGCCCAGGGACATTAAAACGATAATAATTTGCAAGACTTACAATTAAGTTCATAATTAGTTACCATTAACATAACTAATTATTTTTCTTTGTAATCATTATTACAGTCGTTTAACTAAGACAGTTGTAGCCGAGTGGTAACGCGCATGCTTGGGAAACCGAGTGACGCGAGTTCAAATCCAGGGTCTCGTACCTCTGATATTTTCATGTGCGAATCATTTCCAACATGATTACCACTTGTCTTAACGGTGAGGAAACCTGCATGTCTGAGAGAACCTAGCAAGATTTCAAAAGACATGTGAAGTCCGCCAACCCGGACATAGCCAGCGAGGTGGGCTATGGCCTGATCCCCCTCGCATTGAAGGAAGACCCGTGCCCAGCAGTGGGACGTTAAAAAGGCCTGAACACATTACAATACAACTAAGGTGTCTAGACGTCATCGTGAGGTGTGTAGTGGGAGATGCGATATCGAGTATCATATTTACTTTTCTATGATAGTCGGGAAACTTTATAATGTACAGATATGACTGTAACTTGCCACGAGATGGCACTACAGTGTACAATGCTTTCACTTCAAAAACCGTTCGCGATAAAAATTGTTAATTTTAGACAGTCCTTGCAGTTTGCGTGATTTCGGTAACATCAAAGGCACATATTCTATGAATTTTTATTAGTATTATAACACTTCATTGTACAATAAAGTGGTACACTACAAATACAAGTGAAGAGATATAATAAGCGAGCTCTTACAAGCAACCGATAGTAACAATTTAAAGCTAATGCCATAAGTACCCGGAAAGGTTTTATAGTATACCTAGATCTTCAAGATAAACTTGAATGTCAAAATGTACTTAATAGAATAGATAATGCATTTAATGTCATACACTTCAAATTATCAGCCAATAAATAAGATAAAACTCAAAGGATATGTACATATATAAACATCTTTGTAAATGCAATTTATATTAGTGTTATATGAAAATCTGATCAGCATAGACTGAAGAGGTACATAATAGATAGGCAGAAGCTTAAATTCTGGGTTTTAATGATTTTATATATCGACCAATTTCCTTCATATTTCTCCATTCTACGTGACATTGGCGAAATAATATGTGCTTTGAAGCCATTAATAAGAAAATTGAATTGAAATTTTGGTTTAATAAAACTATTTTCAATATTACGTTTCATTAGATTTGTGGGAAATAAATATTTTATTAGTGGTTTCACTTTTTAGTTTTCAAAATGGTGTGTGATTGTGACTTCATACTTCCCTCAAGAGAAGGCTGGGAGCCGCATTATCAGAATTGCAAGACGAATTGGATTAAGCATCATAATACTGACTCACCAAAGTAAGTGTCGATTCCATCTATACTGATATTATAAATGTGAAAGTAACTCGTATCTGTTACCTTAAACCACTAAACAGATTTTGATAAAATTTGGCAAGGTGTTTTAGCGATTTTTTTGAAATTTTGACATAGATATATAATATTTTTATACTGTCCATTTTGCTCACTGGATGGTGACACAGCGAATCAACTTCTACACCATTTCACAAATCGTATAATTGGTACCCATGTTTGAGTACGAGAATGTTAACGCGTTAGCGTTAACATTCTCGTACTCAAACATGTCTCGTACTCAAACGCGTTATTTTTTTACCCGTATGAAACCACTGGCAAAGGTTAGTTTCTTCCGAAGGCTTAGTACTTTAAAAACATCGTGACGAAAGCTCTTTAAACTTTAGTTACAAAATATATATGTGACTTGACGACACGTTTGGCTCAGTTTGTGGTGACCCTACTTGCTGTGCCAGCGGTCGCGGGTTCGAGTCCCGCTGGGGACATTCATTTGTGTGATGATGAATGTTTGTACTTCAGTTATGGGTGTTTATATTTATAGTTATATATGTGTAGTATATGAACTATCTGGTATCCATAACACAGGCCTCGTAGCTTACCATGGAACTAGATGGTGCTGTGTGTTAATGTCCTAACATATTTAAAATATTTAAATTTATAATATATTACCTTTTCAGTTTTCTTATTATTTGATTTTAACAATACATACAAATACAATCACATTTTATCTTTACTGACATAATTCATTTTATAAGGTTTTTCAAAAAATTAAACATGAAGTAAGGGAAGTAGGGCAGTATACGCTGGGATTTTTTCGAGGAATAATGACAACTGAAATCCGGCCATATATAAAAAAGTTGATATATAAAAAAGGTTTGGGTATGATTCAATGCATCAGACTAATAAAAATTACTTATCACAGAGTGATTAGGTACTGTGAACTTTGCTGCATATTGTTGTGCAATTTGATAATTTAGATAAATTAGGCAGGACATACGACGTTTTACTATTTGGAACCATCCTTTAGACAAGTTTCGATAGGGCTTTGAAATATAATAATAAAACTTTAAATAAAAAAAAAACCGACTTCAAAAAAAGCCACTAAAAAGTAAAAATTAACTGGTTGGTAGTTTTTATTTACTATACTAATCAGATATTTTCCAAGTCAGTGTGATTTGATATGTATAAAAAAACGAGCCAAATTAAGATTGGACCTCCTCCTTTTTGAAGAAGTCGGTTGAAAAAATATAAGTCTTGCCCGTGATGATTTCTAAAGCTTATTATAAATTTTACATTATATTTCAGACATGAAGACGGAACATTTCGTTTGAGAAACGACCATCTTTCTAAGTTGGATAAAGACGTGCTTTACCATTTGGGTTTGGATACTGAAAATTATGATTTACCTGCTATGTTCGGAGATGTAAAGGTAAAATAGTAATTGTTTATACTTAAAATTTTCGAGATAAATTATTATTGGTAGTGTATGTGTGTGTTATGTGTTTGGTGGACTCGTTGGTCTAGTGGTTAGCATATACGGCTGTAGATCCGGAGGTCCTGGATTCAAGTCTCAGGCCAGGCCTAGATATAATTATAGCGGTTTTCTGTTAAGAATTTCTCAGTAACAATCCAAAGTTAAGTAACTAGCAATGATACAGCCTGCCTGGCTTTACGTGCCTCTTAGAACACGTAAAGCCGTAAGTTCTACGTGGCCGAAATTATAGTGGATATTATAGTGTGCGCGCTAGCTATCCTGCAACGCCCATTTTGCTGTGGCTATATTGTTCCACTATGGGTTTTAATGAGTAAGACCGGAAGGACCATATGATTGTGATTATAGTATAACTCCTAACATAAAACATCAAATTATTTAAAAGTGACAAGTATGTAAGGCAATATAAGCTACTTTATTAGGAAATTCACCAAACACACTGTGTTGTGCCGCCTTGAGTTAAATTGAATTCTATGCATTGGAAATAAGGGCTCTACTAAAGTGCACCATATTATTATTCTGACACGGCCTTGATCTGTGAATGTCCTCGGTTCATTATTATCATTATTTTCAAACCCCCATATTGGATAGATGAGTCATAAAACGTTGGGTTATGAGTTATGACACTTCGGGTATCATAGTAAACAAAAATGCATGTATTCAAGACTTAGTGAACGCTATCATTCTATCAGTTTTATAATTTGTCCCGCGTGTTTATTTTAAATAGTCAGCATCATAATAAAACTCCTGGATAACATTACGGGCCTGTCGCTACATACATAATTTAATTTATATAACCAAACTAGCACTGCCCGCGGCTCCGCCCGCGTTCAGACGACCAAAAACCAAACTCTTAGGTTTTACATATTAGTATACTCTTACAATGCAGTTTTTGTATTTTTTCTCAGAAATGAGATATTTTCCCGCGGTAAAAAATATCCTATACGTTGACTCGGATAACCAGCTATCATCATACCAAATTTCATCAAAATTTGTCCGGTAACAGACAGACAGACAGACAAAAATTCTAAAAACTATAGATTCGGACTCTGTATCGATAATAATGTCTATTTCAATTAGATTTTCCAAAAAATATTTAATGTAATGAAAATAGTCCCATTGATGTTTTTGGTTAATGTCCCAGATGACGTAATACTACACTTAACTTTTTTAACTGAAAACCCCATGACTATATTTGGCTTGACCCGGGACTCGAACCTTACATACGGAGAATTTAATAACCAATTTAATTTTTAAACATTCTTCCAACGATTAAAAAAAACTTAACATTATAAAAAAAAATTCTAGATATAGATATGTATAATCCTAGGTATATATAAATATAGATATGTATGCATCAAGCAATTCTTTCATAATAACTTTTTTTTATTACAGTTTGTATGTATGGGTGGAACTAAATACCGAATGAAGGAATTTGCCAAATATATAGCTCAAGAATTGAATTTAACTACTGAACCTCTAGTAAATTTGACAAAGCATTCTCATCGGTATGCGATGTACAAAATAGGCCCAGTGCTATCTGTTCATGTAAGAATATACGATATTTTTTCATTTAAAACCTTTTTAAATTTCATAAAATAAATATATTTTAATTAAAGTTTTATTTCAGCATGGTATAGGGATTCCTTCCATGACTGTTGTACTTCAAGAAGTTATAAAACTGCTCAGTTACGCGAAAGCCAAAGACCCTATCATATTTAGAATAGGCACTAGCGGCGGTTTAAATATACCACCGGGAACAGTCGTTATATCGTCGTGGGCTTTAAATGGAACATTAGAAAAATCTTATGATATTGTAAGTATATACGTAAAGACAAATCTCTCTTATGTATGGTTAGTAAGAGCTAAACTGTCTCTAGTTTCTACAAATCTTAATTCTCATTGCAAACTGTGTCTGTATTTAACGTTGAATTAAAAGTTTTTTACTAAATGTTTATGAAATTATATACGGTACGAGTAGGTACTTATACGAAAATAATAATTTTTAAATTTTTTGTCTATCTGTCTGTTTGTTTCGGCTAATCTCCAAAACGGCTGGAACGATTTTGACGGACTTTTTACTAAATTTCTCTGGCAGATAGTTGATGTTATAAGGAGTAACTCAAGCTACTTTTATTTTAGAAAAAGAATTAGGGTTCCGTTCAAAAAATAAAAAAAGTACCCGAGTGAAACGGGGGTAAGTCGCTAGTGTCGTAAGTAATTATGTATCTCGATAATATAAACTAAACTGAAAAAACATCGTTAAAACGCAGTCTTGAGATTTTAGAATAGGAATAAAAGATAACTAGATTATATATATTACAATATAAAGTTACATTTTTGTTCTTTACAGGTTTGATTGTTTGTCGAAATATTCGGTATTATGTATATTAAATATTACAATTTAGTACCAAATACTCTACCCATGTTGAAAATTTACGCTAAAAGCGGTTCATTGTAGACAATCAGTACCGACTATTAAAAGATATGATATACGAGTGACATAACAACACTCACAATCAATAAATATATGATTCATTGCATTTTTGGCATAATTAATATGCATTTTTAATTATTTTTAATTATATCTGCAAAATAATAATATAATTTTTTAATGTTTACATTTTATATTGGTCACTTAATTTTTTTTAGCCAGTGTTGGGTGAAATACGTAAAATTCCATCATTATTTGACAATCGGTTAAATCAAGAATTGTTGCACCTTGCATCTGATGAAAAAGAATTTAAGACTGTCATTGGTGGCACTATGGCTGCGGATGATTTTTATAGAGGTTTTTTTTTTTTTAATTTAATTATACTGTGAACAATATTTATTATGTATTTAAATTTGAAATAAGTGAAAAAATATTATAAGTAAAACTATATATAATCAAACTGAGAAATTTGAGAAAGAAATTGTGGTGCTTTCACCATTTTTCCATTTTTTTTTATTATTTTAAAATCTATCTATATTTCTATACTAATATTAACACCTCCAGGTACATTTCTAAGAAATTGCTTAAATTTCTAAGAAATCTATTGTTAACTGTAACGCCGGCGTGTCCGCGGTCGTGGAGGGATTATAAATGGGGAAGTTTGTGAGTATGGATGTTTGTTACTTTTTCACGCCAGAACGGCTGAGCGGATCTGGATGAAATTCGGCACAGACATAGATTACAGTCTGAAATAACACTTATAGGCTACTTTTTATCCCGGAAAAACGTACGGTTCTCGTGGGATAGGTTTATTTTTGTTTTCCTCAAGGCGCACCCGAGTGAAGCGAGCTTGAACCGCTAGTAAATAATAAAATTTCTAATAATTTTAAAATCGGCTCCGGTTCGGGCCAAGTTCAGTTGTTGGGTATTTATGTCAAAAAACTCTCAGTAACAGCATAGAGCTACCGGAGTTACAATTACCCCCGTGCCGATGCAGAGGATATAAAACCTGCGTCTTAACTCTTACTTGTCGTGTCGAGTAGTCGTCCCACAGTAGTATGAAAGTAACATAATATCTCCTGCGTAGATGATCCTCTCCTATGATCTTAATGAGCTCCTATGATCTTATGATCTTAATGAGCTCAATGATATTTACATTTTATTTCTTTATTACTAGCAGAACCCACGGCTTCACTCGCGCTAAAACTACATAAAAATCTCTAAAAAGGTAGTTTCATACTAACTTTCATCCTCTATTTAACCCCCTTATAGGATGAATTTCGAAAAATTCTAAGACATGTATTCATTTAATTTTATTGAAGAGCATTAATAGCAAGTTTCAAGTTATTCTGATCCTAATTTTTTTTTGGATTGTATTTTAAAGTGTTTTCCCGTGGGAATTAGGTAAACTCCCGCGGTAATAAGTACCCTATGTCACTCTCCAGCCCTCCGACTATTTCCACACAAAAAAACACGACAATCTGTCACTCCGTTTCGACGTGAAAGAAGGACAAACAAACAAACAAACACACTTTCATATAATAATATTAGTATGGATTTATTAGGGAAACAAAGAATGAGATGGTACTCATAAGATACTAATATACAAAAATACAGCTAAGTTTCCACTGATAGTTATCATATAAACACTAGCATTAACAAAGACAAAGTAAAACAATTCATATTATGTACTTACATAAAAACAGATAGATAATCAAATTAACACAAAAAAAAAACTCGAAACTAAATTTAAATAAGATATGAAAGAACACGTTGACGACACGTTTGGCTCAGTTGGTAGTGACCCTACTTGATGTGCCAGCGGTCGCGGGTTCGAGTCCCGCTGGGGGCATTAATTTGTGTGATGAGCACGAACGTTTGTACTCCAGTCATGGGTGTTTATATTTATAATATGTATGTATTTAAAGTTATATATGTGTAGTGTATCAACTATCTGGTATCCATAACACAAGCCTCGTAGCTTACCATGGAACTAGATGGCGCTGTGTGTTAATGTCCCAACATTTATTATTATTATTACATATAAAACTGATTAGGGCATAATTTTGTGTGAGTTATTGGTAGATTTTTCTATTTTACAGGTCAAGCTCGCTTAGATGGTCCATTTTGTGATTATACTGAGAAAGACAAATTATCTTTTATACAAAAACTGATGGATTTAGGAGTGAAGAATATAGAAATGGAGGCGACCGCATTCGCTGCTTTTACTAGAGAGGCCGGTTTGAGATCCGCTGACGTTTGCGTGACATTTGTTAACCGTTTAATGGATGATCAGGTATTTATTTTATCTTCTGTGGTTGAAGGAAATTAAGAAAATTGAAATAAAATTAGACATTAATTAACTTAACGGTTGCAGATTTAAAGGGACTGGGTTCAAATCCGGGTAAAGGCAAAATAGTTATTAAGTTTGTTGACTAGGAATATTAGTTGGAGATTTTTACACCTACGTGCTTCGGAGTGCGTTGAGCTATCGGTCATGGGCCGGCAGTCTCGACAAAGTTAGCCATTGCTATTTAATCGATTCGTGCCGCTAAGATGATCTTAGTCACCATCGTTGTCAACGTCGTCGAAGTCGCCGTAATGAGCAAAATTTGAAAAGTTAGCAAAACCTTTGAAAAAAATAGAAGCAACATTTATAGTCAAGAATACGAAAAATCGATAAATTCTGATCATTACGACTTAGTGGCACGAATCGATAAAATAGCGATCGCCAACTATGTTGAGACTGCCGCTGTTCTGGGCCTTATCCTTTACTCATCTTATCTAGTCGTCATTAAATAGGAACGTGAGGGTTCAAAGTGAGAAATAGAGATTGCACTTGTCTTTGCACACACTTCTTAAGTATAATATCACTTGCACAGTTATTTAATTTCTTGTTGGTCGCGAAAACTGAAACTGGTTAAAAAGACCTTGTATTCAGCCCTTTTAACGTCCCACTGTTGGGCACAGGCCTCCCTTCAATACGAGGGGATTCAGGCCATAGTCCACCACGCTAGCCAAGTGCGGGTTGGCGGACTTCACATGTCTTTCGGAAACTTGCTAGGTTCTCTCAGACATGCAATTTTCCTCACGATGTTTTCCTTCACCGTAAGGCAAGTGGTAATCATGTTAGAAATGATTCGCACATGAAAATATTAGAGGTGTGAGACCCGGGATTTGAACCCGCTTCACTCGGTTTTCCAAGCGAGCGCGTTACCACTGGGCTACCACTGCCTATTAATTAAAAATACCATATTATACTACATATCTAGTACTCAGAATTTACATAAAGAAAATCAATAATTTAATATTTTTACAGGTAACACCACAAAAATCAGAACTACTGAAGTGGCAAGAACGTCCGATGATAGTCGTTGGAAAATACATATCTACATATTGCAAAAGATCAAAGCAATGAATTTATTAGACGTTCATTATATATTTTATATAAAGTTCATATTTAGGGCAGTTTTTTTTATTATTTTTAATATTTATTCATGAACTAAATTAGCTAAGATAACGAATGAATGAAACAATGAATATATTTTATATTTAATAAGTGTAATTTTTATTTTGTTTGTATTAATTTATTTATATAATTCGTAATAACAAAACGGATACAAATATACTCCTTAATCTAATAATAATTATTGTGTAATACATGGATAAAAAATTTAGGATAATGGATAATAAATAGAGTGCTGAGACGCACGCACTAGGATACCACAAGACGCTCTTATCTAATTTAAAACTATAGTTAAAGTGATAAGTAATTAAATTACATATATGATAAAAAATCTGCCTTTATTCTATACAATTTTAACTTATATTATTGTATACTACCAGAACCCGTGGCTTCGCTCGCGCTAAAACTACAAAAAAAGCTCTAAAATGGTAGATTTCATACCAAATTTAATCCGCTATTTTACCCCTCAATATGGGATGAATTTCAAAAAATTTCAAACACGTACTTAATAAATTGTATTGAAGAGCATTAATAGCAAGTTTCAAGTAATTCTGATAATAATTTTTTTTGTTGCATTATAACGTATTTTCCCGTGGGAAAGAGATCATCTCCCGCGGTAAAATGTAGCCTATGTCACTCTCCAGCCCTCCAACTATCTCCACATAAAAAATCACGCTCATCCGCCAAGCCATTTCGACGTGAAAAAAAGACAAACAAACAAACAAACAAACAAACAAACAAACACACTTTCACATTTATAATATTAAGTATAGATATGCAAGCAAGCAATATTTTTAATAAAATCAGGTAATATTATATTTTAAAATATCTAAATCTGTTATTTTCTTATATTCTTATATCTTATTTTCTTATATCTTTAAATATTTATGAGATTAATTGGTATGATATCACTGCCATAGAGTTGAAATTTGAAGGAACAGTTTTTTAGCAATGTTGCTATTTTTAATGCGGAAATTACTAACGGAAAGCTATCAGACAGTTATCTAGCATTTAATACGATATTACTTGATTACACCTCTAGTAACATACATCAACAGATGCACCAAAAATAAAGAAGTAAAGATACGGGTGAATCAGGCACGAATCTAGGGTTAAATTTTGGGAAGGGTCAGAGACTGAAGTATCTTGGAAACTGTATATCAAACATATTATAAATAAAAAAAATTGTTTATTAGGATAATTACAATAATATAGGAAAAATAAAGTATGTAGGTATATATTATGTATGTATGTATTCAACCCTTTTTTTAAAGCCCAGTGCTGGGCACAGGCCTCCCTTAAATAAGTGGGGGATCAGGCCATAGTCCACCACACTGGCCCAGTGCGGGTTGGCAGAATTCACATGTCTTTCAAAAACTGGCTAAATTCTCTCAGACATGCAGGTTTCCTTCACCGTATTGACAAGTGGTAATCATGTTGGAAATGATTCGCACATGAAAATATCAGAGGTGCAAAACCCGTGATTTGAACCCGCTTAACTGTGTTACTCAAGTGAGCGCATCACCACTACTCACTAGGCTAATACTCGCCTAATAAATGTATGTACCTATGTATATAGAATATACACATACAATATTACCTCTATATCGTAAAGAAATACTTAACGGATCTACCTAGTTAATGGTAAAAACTTAAACAAATAAAACCCTCATCATGCCTCACGCTAACTTAATTACTATACTTTAATTATTTGATTTCCTGTTTTATTACAAAGTTCTTGGTAATGACATAAGGAAGTGCTTTTAGGAACGAAAAGCTTACACGGAATCGAAATTAAGATATTAGTGATGATTGGTGAAATAAAATGGAACCTTACTCAAATATACTTATTACAAGCACTTTTGAATCTTCAATATAAAGAGTGTCAGTGTAGTCAGTCCGTGAGGAAGCTACCATCGGCTCGGTAAGCAGTTCTGCTGGGAAGAAACGGCGAGAAACTCAACAGTTGCTCTTTTAAATATCGAAGTTACATTGATAAACATAATATTAGAGATAGCCCACATATGAGTCAATGTATATTAATTCCACAGATTTCCATCAACAAGAAACTCTTAAATCTAGGACATAAAATATCTAGGACATATAATAAAAGTAAATCTAGGACATTTTGTGGAATCTTATTAAGTATATATGTGTATTTTCAGGCCTATGAAGCATTTATTCACCTTTTGGAGTCAAAATTTAGGCGTATCAAGCTTATTTCTATTTGTTGTTTTATGTATTTCTATTTACACTGTTTTTTTAATAATTATTAATATTAATAACCGTAAGAATACCATTTTTTTGAAAACATCTCGCAGATAATTACGAGCTCTTAGATCATATAGGGCCCGTACTGCTCTTTTTTGAAGAATAAATACTGAATTAATTTCCGCTGCACTGCAGCAAAGAAGTTTTCCGTAAGGTAAGATACTATGAAAATAGCTTTGTTTCTAAACGATTCCCTCAGCAGCCTGGGATTATCTGTTATTAGCAGTACTCGCGGCTTCACCTGCGTTCTAAATCGAATTCAGCACGAATTCAGCGTTCTTTCGAAGCAAATTTCGATAGCTACCAAACGTTACAGGATCACCCGCTGGATTAATCTGAAAATTGTCTTAACCTAGCTAGTTATCTGATTCAACATATAAGATACTTTTTATTGCGGGAAAATATTTCAGCTCTGAGAAATCTATTCTAAACTTTAAAACGTAAGTAGGAACGAAACCGAGCGGAGCGAGGGTGAGTCGCTAGTCCTATATAATAACACAAAATTTTTAATACATACAATATACCATTTAAAAAAAGAGATTATTTTATAATATCAATTTTTAATCAAGAATGTCGTGTTTAATATTATTAATACGAGCGCCATTTAAGTTTTTATTCTTCGAGCTTTTGTAGTTTGATGTAAGCGTTTGCTGGTTCTTTCTTTTTAAGCTTCATTATCTTCGTGCCCTATATTCTTTTGAACCCTCAAAGTGTGCTATCGATATTTTTAATACGAATGAATCAGCAAATTGTGTTTTAAAGATGAAATATTTAAGGAAAATAAGTGATTTTTTTACTTTATAGAAACATCAATACGAATCTGTTAAGTGCGAGTTGGATTCGTGCCCGTAGGTTCCGTACCCACAATATATTTTTTGACATTTCGTATTATTTAATCCCTCCACGACCGCGGTCACGCCTGCGCGTTACAGTTAACAATAGATTTCTTAGAAATTTAATTAATTTCTTAGAAATTTACCTGGAGGTGTTATATAGTAGACTAGCGACTCACCCTTGCCCCGCTCGTTTTCGTCCCTACGTTTTAAGGTTAGTATATATTTCTCAGAGATGAGAGTATTTTCTCGCAGTAAAAAGTATCCTAAATATTGACCCATATAACAGCTATCATAATACCAAATTTCAAAAAACTGTCCAGTGGTTTTCTCATGATGCGTTCCCAGATCATCAGACAGACATACAGACACAGGCATAAATTCTAAAATCTATAGATTCGGGCTCTGTATTGATATATAATTAATAATGTCTATTTTAATAAGATTTTCCACAAAATATTTACCACGAGCAAAAATATTGAGCACGTTAGCTTTAGTTATGACAATTGTCATCGTTTAAAGAATTAAGGGGGTGGTGCTTATTAAAATGTGCCCGTTAGAATGTTTAATTAAATTAATAATAATTGACTTTTTAGAACAAAATCGATGCACTTGTTATTTAAATAAATTATTTTCAACTTCACAAAAATATACGTAGATATCTTGAAATGTGAAGCTGCCGTTGCCCACTTGGCCGCTACCTCTTCGCAGCCAGGTGTAAGCAGGTAATATTTTGTTACATTTAGACGTTCAGGGCGTATATTCATCATTTATATATCAAATTAAAGCTAATTTTTTTCTGTACCTGATAAACTACCTTTTCCTACGTAAAAGTAGCCGCAAACAGGGGTTGCCAGCTATTAAATATTTATTTGTTACATTTACACGTTCATGGCGTATATTCATCATTTATATATCAAACTAAAGCTACTTTTTTTGGTTAGAAATAAAGCTTTGTTTTTAGAATAGAGAAAAAACCTCTCTCCTGTAGAGTACAACAGGTATTGGTCGTTTAAACAAACACTAAGGTGACGATATAACTAAAATTAATCCATATATGTATTTTACTATCAAAAACAATGCAATTAAATTGAAAAAAAAATACTGCATTAAATTGTTTTTTTTATTTATTTATTTACTTATGAGTCTGCTCACAGGAAACGATTGCATATTAAATTTTTATCTCTTTTCTATAATAAAATTAAAAATAACTTGTTTCTAAACACGCTTTCACCTACATATTATGAGCATTCATTTTTCTTTCTTTTACTTCAATATTTTTGGACGACGTAATATTTTAGAATTAAAGTATTGTTGAAAATAATATTAAAGTTTTACTTCTGTTATCTCTAATCTCTGTGTTAAATTTCAGCCATATCCGATATTATTAGTCATGCATAATAGTCTAAGGTTCCGATCCGATCGGGATCTCCTACTATAATTACATATGTAAGTAACAAGCGTCTAAACATCTTTATAAACTTTCTAAAGAGGTACGTAATTCGCATATTGTCCACGAATCTTTACAAACTGTGGATAAATTTTCGTGAATATTTTTTTTAAATAATTAGGATATTTTTTAAGGTAAGGTTAAGGGTTTTAAGAGCTTCCTTCCCTAACGAATTATTTTTAATAAAAAATATATTTTAACGTATTTTTGTAATTCTGAGATTTATTTTTACACTAGCATTGCCCGCGGCTCCTCTTGCATTCAAATGACCGAAAACCAAATTCTTAGGTTTTATTATTTATTCTTAACTTTTTATCTCGGAAATTATCCCTTAAGAGGGTGAAAATGGGGATGAAAGTTTGTATTGGGAAGCAAGCCATGGATGAACCCGAGCG